AAATTGGTAGGCTATTAAAGATTAATTTCAAGACATAGACATCTGATAATCATCTTGAAAATTATGTTTATGTAGATACTGAGCCTACACGAGTTCGGGAACAATCTACAAGTAGGATCGATCGAGGAAAAGGCAAAGAAATATAGGTGAGTGCATATGCATAGCATAATTATAGAATATACTCAATTCTAGACTTGTGATAAGTCTAGATTTTATATCCTGGTACATGATCATATTATTATTAGACATGACATGAATTCATATAAAATGCATTATATGACATGAATATGCAGGAAAAGTTATGAGCTATGTGAAAAGGTAAGAATTTACATGTCTACGCGATATAGACTACGTGAAATGTAAAAGCCCATGTTATGTAGATGAGAACTATAGGTATAGTTGGCATGCCAAGGGTAGAGGGTCTACGCGGTCCTTCGGGACAAAATTCTACGCGGTCCTTCGGGATATATATATTCTTTGGAACATGTGTGAAGTCTGGTGAGACACATATGTGATCCCTAGCATATGTATATGATTCTTAAGGAATTCTATGTGGTCCTTATGGACATTATTATATGGCACTACGGTGCAATTCTATGCGGCACTTCGGTGCATTTATACGAGCTGTGGTGACAGCATAGTGCACAACCTCACAATACTCAGATACCTTAGGTTCTCAATATGATATCATGGGCCAATAAACTCATTAATACAAATTCATGAATGTTAAAGTAATATGCTTACAGGTAATGATAATGGTGATGTAAACTACCTTGATTAAGTATAAGCTTTCAACTCATTTCATATCATTATGACATTTTCATTACATTGCCTTGTTATTATTATTACATTGCCTCACTAAGTCGATGACTTAGCGTGTGAGTGTTTCACATGTAGGATCCGAGAAAGTAGACGAGACAGGTTAAGCAGCTTGACAGCATTACTCCTGCAACCATCAGATCAGAAGCAACTTAATCAGTAGGTCATTTTGTTAAGAAAATGGATGTTGGCATGTAATTAAAAAGTTAAGTTGTGTATGCTCTGAATATTTTAGTAAACTTATAATACCATATGTATATTATTGTATTTTCGTAATATAAGTTCAAGTATTTTACTATTATTTGTAATGTGTGATGTTTTAAAAGTCAATGTAATATCTCTGACTCGTATCCAGGTTGGTATACGGGTTGGGGGTGTTTCAATTTCCATGTAGTTAACCCTATAATTAATTGAAAACATACACTCATATAAAAATTATAACTTTAAATATATAATCTTTTAAATATAATTTGATTGGTTATATATTATTGTAACACCCCAACCCGTATCCGATCCGGATACGAGTCCGAGATGTCACATTGACATTTAAAAACCTTTATTCTTGCAAAATAACAGAATATTTGAACTTATATTAAGAAAATACGATCATATATTGTTCAATTATGTTTTTTATAAAATTTTGAGGCAAAAACGTATTTATGAACAGTAAAATATGGTATGAACAATACCGTGAACAGTACCATGAACAGTGAAAAAAATCGAATATAGATTGTGTATCGATGCACTGCTACATTAACTTTCGTAAAAATACGTATAAACTCGTAAAAATCTAAGCTTTCATCCGTATAAATTTATCAATTACATATATGCATTTAAAACATTACAAAACTCAATCATATGACTTTTCAAACCGATTAAAACATATCGGATTTAAATCCCTTATTTACATGCCAACCACTATCCTTATTACAAAATGCATACTATACATTTCTTTTCTGATATGATCTTTGGAAAGAAGAAACTGACTTGTCTTGCATAATTTTTTTTACCAATCTTCATCTTCTCGGAATCTACGCGTGAAACAATCACACGCTAAGTCATTGACTTAGTGAGGCATATAGAACATAATTATATGCTAACTGTAAATTCTACAATACATGAACATTTGATATTACCTTATCGTACCAAAACATATATTATTTTCTGTAATATATACATACATGCACATATCATGTAACATAACATCATTAACATACTTATCATTTCTCATTCTATCATCAATAATTTCTTTATATACCATATCAGCATATAATGTAAACTCTAAATCACACCATTGCATAAACAATTACCAATCTCATATAACAAATACATTTCACTTAGGAATATACACAGTATCACATATGAATCTTGTAAATAATTTTGATGTCTTTTATAGGCCCATGTACATTACTGAGAACTTAAGGTATGTGAATACTGTGAGGTTGTGCACTATGTTGTCACCACAGCTCATATAAATTTGCACCGTAGTGCCACGTAGAATTTGCACCGAAGTGCCGCGTAGAAATGCACCGTAGTGCCATATAATATTGTCCATAAGGATCACATATAAATTTCTTAAGAATCATACACATATACCAAGGATCAAGTAGGTGTCTCAAAAGACCTCATACATGCTCCAAATAATACATATACGTCCCGAAGGACCACGTAAAATTTGTCCCGAATGACCACGTAGAATTTGTCCCGAAGGACCGCGTAGACCCTTGACTCTTGGCATGCCAACTATACCTCTAGATCTTATGACACATAATATGGGCATTATCTTTCATATTTATTACATATTCATATCGGCACATAGTTTACTTACACGTAGAACATTTTCATATGATTCACTTTCACATGTCATATGGCTTATATCTTGTTCTTATGTCTTCTCATAGACATATCATTTCCATACCTTTATCACATAGCTCATATAATTTTTCATGCATATTCATGTCACATATTTCATATAATTTTACATGGAAACACGTAGATTGTTTCATATGGTTTATATCATTTCTCCTTTGTTCATATACATATGTCATATATACATCACATAACACATAAGATAACATATCGTGCACATCACATAGTTGTTATCATTTTTTTTTCATATATCTTCATGTAGTTCAATATCACATATTGCACATAATAACATATTACACTTATACACATTTCATATACTCATGCACACATAAAGATCACATAACATTTTAGAAATTACTTCTTACCATAATAACTCTGTCACTGGCTCGTCGCAAGCCAATGTTTGATCAATAACATTAGTACAATTAAATTGCACTCACCCTAGCCTTGATTTGATTCAATCCTAACTTTTCGATTGTTCCGCAACTCGTTTAGGCTCGATATCTACATAACATAAATTTCAAGACGATTTTCAGAAGCGTAAACCTTATAACTTGTTATTAATAACTTAGGATAATTTAATGAACCAAATTTCAGCTTTTCCTTTAGGAGTGCACCGATGCACTATGGGTGAATCGATACCCAAAATAACTTCGAAATATCTATGCATCGATGCACCCCTTAATGCATCGATGCACCTTCAAAATTGTCTTAGTGCATCGGTACATACTTATAGTGTATCGATGCACATGTCCAAAATAGCCCGAAATTCATCAATACTTCACCCAAATTTTCATGTAAAAATCTTTATCATGCTACTAAATTCATCTATAACAACTTTAACCAATTCCTATCATTCCAACACCCTATAATCTTCCATATTTCGTCCAAATTCTTAAAGCTAAGAATCATACCAAATTTTCCATGTTATCCAAACTTAATTCTAACACTTCTAACTTCTTATTCTCATAGATGACAAGTCAAATTCAACCTCCAAACTCATTTAAACCTTCTTATTCAAAATTTCACTTAAAACCCCATTTTCTTTAATCTTTCATAACTTCTTTACCTTTTGATTTTAAGACAACTTAAGCTTTTCTTAAGCTTAGTTATCATCTAATTATCAAAACCCAACCATAAAATCAACAAATAATTAACTAACAAAGAAACTCACATTTGCCTTTGGGTTTCACGTGAAGAAGAAAGAAAAAAGATGAAGAGAAGTTTTGGAGAAAATATCTCTTTCATCTTATCCTTATATCCTTATTAATCACATTTTTAATTAATTTCTAAGTCAAATGACCATTTTGCCCTTTACTTCATTTAATAATTACTAATAACCTTTAGGAAATATCTCCATAGAAATCATTGAACTATTCAACTATTCTACTTTAATCACCAAATTCTGAAATTTTACAATTTAGTCACTAACACATAGTTTGGGAAGTTACAATTATTTTAGTCATTATTGACATATAAAACCTTTTTATCCATCATGAGTGATCATAATAACATGTTGATTAATTTCTAAATTTAATTGATAATAAAAAGATTTTAATAATTAGGTGAAAAGACATATGAAGTACATGTATATTTTAAAAAACTAATGTGACTCTCGTATTATTTTTCTCTTAATGTGGCCCTTCAATTCAGAAAATAAACTCAATGTGACCATTCAACCAACGTTTTTCGTCATTGACCGTTATGGTGTTGACATGACGGTCCACGGTACTAACATGGTAATATACAATGGTTGATAACGTGACAGATAAGCTACATTGATAACTAAAATATGATTGTTGGATTGTCACATTAGTATCATGGATCGCCACGTCCGCACCATAAACTACCACTACAACACCGTAACGGTCAACGACAACAAACGTTGGCCAAATGACCACATTGTTTGTTTTTTGAGTTGGAGGGTTATATTGAGAGAAAAAAATAATACGAGGGTCACATCGATTTTTTAAAAAAATACAGAGACCACTTTGCCTTTTTGCCTAAAACTTAATTTTATTTTATAAAGTTTGAGGGACTAAAGAACTATTAAACCCAAAAAAAAGAAATAAAAACCACTGCTCTTGTTCTTGAAATCTAAACCATCCAACTCGTTTCCATTCCCGCCGAAAATGGCCGAAAATATAATAATACTTGAGAATTTAGGCCAATTGAATTTGGAAATAACGGTTATTAACCACTCTAGAAAAGGAACAAATAATCAAAGAAACGAATGAAATCAAACAAATCACCATGAGACCTGAGCCTGACGGACCCCTTTCTAACTAACCAGCTTCTCTTTCATGTTTCATCCTCCAATATGGCCACCATTTCTGGAGCTTCCCCACGCCGAGACGCCCAATCGGGTGCCATGCCACCCGAGACTCCTTACGATCGCCCCGGGTTTCTCAATTCAGCTCTGTATAACCCTAATTGGATCTCCAGGAACATTTTCCCTCCAACTCGCGCCATTGTTACTGGTGCCGCCCGGGTGCTCACCTCTGTTCTTGGCTTTGAATCCTCCTCCTCTTCGTCTTCGGAATGCGGATCCTGTCCAGGTTCCATTTCCCTTTTTTTGCATATATATTTTCAGAATGCGACTTTTCCCACTAATTTACTCTCTCAACTTAGTTTAATGATATCTTGGGTGGTGCTAGTAGCTTTAATTCTAGTTTTTTTTTTCATCTCTGCGATCAAAGTATGAGCGTTTTTTTAGCTGTTCAATTCCACACAAAATCGGAGAATAGCATGATTGCAGGCAGAAACGTTAGTTTTAATTTTTATTGTGTTATGCTTCCCTTTTTCAAAATGCTTCGCTTTGCAAGCCAACCTCTTTATGGCTGCGCGTTTTCTGGGATGCTACGTACTGTAATTTTTTATTCTTGCGTATGTCTTCATCTTTCCCGTCCTTTTTCAAGATGGCCCTAACCTTTTAAATGATTATTAAGCACATTTCTTTTTATAGGAATAGAGGCTAATATATTAACATTGGATGAGAAAAACAATCCATGTTGCTACATTGTCCATGCTTCTGAAAGCAGTTCTGTTCCCTCATGTAGCGCATTGCATTTGTTTACTTGTATATATTTTTGGTGCAGATGACTCTCTTGACAACAATGATGACCAGGAAGTCTCATCTCAAGGGGTTCATGCAAGTGAAGTTGTAAGTGTTCCACCCTTTATCCTTTATGCCACGCTTCAAAAGGAATTTTGATTTCTCTCTTAAAACTTTATGTGATGATACTGGTAAATTTGATGCAAATTCATGATATTCTTTTTCCTTATTTTTGCTTACTTGCCATGGTAGCATGTACACATTCCTGACACAATTGATGATAATAATTATCTTAGAGGACGCTTTAGTTGTTTCTTTGGGGGACATCAGAGAGAGCCCCAATCTTTTGCAGGAAAGAACAAAGCCAAGCATATAGTAGAGCAGCTTCTCATGCAGGAGTCTTTCTCAAGGTAAGAACTTGATTTTCTTACTTTCTTATTTGGACTTTTAGCTTGCTTTAATCCCTTTCTTCTTCCTCCATAAGGTGTTCTTCTCATGAACTGTGTGATTGACACCTAGTAATTCATGTACATTATGACATGTTTGGTGTTTAAATTCTTGGGCAAACTTCACATGACATTTTTTATTGATTTAACTGATTATCTCTCATTTTTATGTCTCATAAGCATAGTTTAAGTCATAAACGGATGCTATTTTGACCAGGCAAGAGTGTGATAAACTAACAGATATTATCAAGTCGAGAGTTGTGGATTCTCCCGCAATTTGTGGCTTGGGGATTGGGAGACTAGATGAAACACCTGAGAGAACAGGTGGAAATAGTACAGCTTTCATAAACTTGCGAGATACCTGATTTCAAGAATGAAAGAACAGCATTCATGGTTGACTGATTATGTTGCTTGATTCTCAGATGCTGAAAATCATGATTTTTGCAACAAAGCTGTTTTTGAGGCGGCAACAAAGTTGTTGGAGGAGGAGAAGTCAGGACTAAATTATAAGTCAGAAGTGCCTCATGGGACCTGTGCACTGAATTCTGTTGTGCTGAAACATGTTTGTAACTCTTTTTTAGTATATTATTACCATGACTCTTTCTGTTTCATCAATGATGGTAGGCATTGCTAGCTTCTTAAGTAAGGCTGTTGGTATTGATTAACCCCACTTTGCCTCATATAACCTAATAACTTATGTTGAATGTTCTTTTCTTTCCCTACTCTCATTGATTATATTTCATCTCCTTTCTGCTTTGAAGAGTTTCCTCTACCTCTCACTGCATATAACTTTTAAGCTGATATGTTTAATGGTTTCTTGCCTCAGATAATTTTATGTCGAACTTTCTTTTATTCTTCTTCTCCTTCTAACCTTGGTTATGTGCCATCTCTTTCTGCTTGGAAGATTTGAAATTATGCTTTACCTCTGTTTTCATACAACTTTTAAGCTATTGCCTTTTCATGTGTTCTTTGCTTCGTTTTCTGGATACATGTCTGTCCACGTCTCTATGATGTTTGTGTGTACCTTAAATTTACTTGGTTTCATGTGTTATAAAATACCAAAATATACGTATAGAATCATAGTTTACTCACATTTGTGAAGGCAACAATTTAAAGCAATGTCATTTCCTTTTTGCATATATTTTTATTGGAGTACTGATTTAAACACCACTGGTGTTGAAGAAAACTAAAAATGAAAACTGTTGATAACTGATTGCTATATTAGTACAAAAATATGCTCATTTCTATCTCAGTACGTTTTATTGCAGCAGGATGTTGAAGGTGAAGTGGGATCACCTATGGACATGGCCAGGTCATACATGCAAACCCATCCTCCATGGGCATCACCTTCTAAAAACAATACTGATTTTAGATCTCCATCATCAGTTGCAATGCCACTCTTCAAGGAAGAGACACCGTATTCGATTGGGGCCAATTTCCTGTACTCATGCAAGGTATAGGCTTATTCCTATGAATGAATTTATGTCATAATTCACAATGTCTCTTATCCAAATACATGTAAAAAGACTGATGGCTACTTTGGCACGTAAACATGTGGTTTGATCATAGATGGATATATATGATTTTCCAGCTAATCGTTTGTGTTACTTCTGCAATATATTTTGGGGTTGAGCATGTGTTTCTTTTTTTCATAGCAGAATATAAGTTAAATTACAGGTTTCTCTAACCCAAAGCTGTTTGAATTTGGTTAACTGGATTGGAAAAGATGCATGTCAGTAATGTGCATGTGGTGTAAGATTGTCTGCAATTCTTTTTTCCCCTTGGTTGTGATTTAATTTGCTGTTTATTGTTTTAACACAAATGCAGCGGAAAAGAAATTCTCTTGCCACCGGCTCATGGAACATCCAAGATGAAATACGAAAAGTGAGATATAAAGCAACGGAAGAAATGCTGGGGAATCTACCGTCCTCAACAATTGCTTGGTCTTCATTTCCATCAGAACATAAAAAGGTTCTTGATTCTATAGTTGCCAATAACTTAGAACCTGCTAAGGAAGACAAGTCACATAGTTCCAATAGGCCAGTAGAAGCATCTATATGCCTGGCTGCAAAACCAGGTGCAGTTTTTGCTATCAGATACTGTTTCTAGGTTATAAACTCATAATGATCAAAGACATTACCTCTCTTCCTTTGTCCTTTCAGCTTCACAGATTACAAAAGATGTATTTCATATTGGTGCTTTACCAAGATCAACTCCACTTGATTGTGAACAAAAACTGGTATGTTAATGGTGGAACATGAAGATCTCATGGCGCTTGTTAAAATGTCTTTAATTGTGCAGTTATGCAAATATTTATGCCTTTAGTATGTAACCAAAATATTTCCATTGTTTTTATAGATTAGATTTATGTTAATTAATTTTATTAATCAATGTGTATGGTATTTGATAAATTTATTATTTTCTTACAAAGGCTATGCAAACCACTCAAAGCATTGAGGTGGAAAAAGGTATTCTTACAATCCTTTCTTTCATTTATTGTCTCATATCAACATATACTGCATGGTAAATATTATTTCATCAACTCGAGGAAAGACGGTTGCAACCTTATTTTTTACTTGGTTGCATGTCTGCTAGTTACAGAGCAATCAAATAATTCAGGATGTTGGTGAGACTTCCAATTTTTTTTAGCATTCAGAGATGAATATCCTGTTAACTTTAAAACTTTCAGTAAGGATTATACTAAGGTATAAATAAAGGTTGATGAGTATCAGTAGACTCAAAACTGTACTCCACCCGAGCATTGTAAATTTCTTTCACCTAAAACATAACCTATCTTGTTAAATTTGCTTTGTCAAGAAAAAGGATTTAATTAGTAGGTGTATCAAAGTGTTCTCACTTGGTTATTTTTTAGTTAGCCACTGTTTTTCATTCATGCTTTTGGAATTGGTCATGAAAGAAAGTAGGAAAACGTGGGGTTGTGCACCAGTGCAATTCTTATTCCCGAATTTATGATTACTGATTCATGGACATAAACAGAGCATGTGGTGTCCTATTTGTGGAAGATTGATGGGTTATCTCCTGGAATTGTCCATCTAGCTCAGTTGGTAGACACAAGGTTCTTAACCTTGTAGTCCGTGGGATCAAGTCCCATTGAGGGCAATTCATAAAGGAGGTCTTCCACGGAAGCTGCTCTCAACCTGGCGTTGGGGGCAACCTACTACCCTATCTCCCCCTTACCCCCATTACATATGGGAATAGGATTAGCTAATTTTTTATGGGTTATCTCCCGCAAGATCTTCCAGTGGTTCAATGCAAAAGTAGTGGTCTTATTGTTTAAATGCTCTCAAATCTAATGAATTTGTGATCGAGACATTTCCATTTTTAATTGTGGATAATTGCAGCTACATTTTATACCCTCTCTTTTTTCTTCTCTTCTTTACATAGTCATTTTACCTAATAATTCTTTTCCTCCATGAAATGTTTCTAAATGAGATTTTTGTGATCAGACGAGACATTAGAGGTGGGGCAAAGACTTCAATCACCAATATATATAAAGACCGAACCACATAGGTTAGTCTATATTTCTCATTAAATCCCATCCCACCCCCCAAAAAAAATCAGCACTGATATTGAATGATTCCCTTTGAAAATTTCGTCTTTTTGGTGACAAGGTCAATGGTCATTTTCTTTTGACTTCTAATCTATTCATGTCTTAGTGATGTTGATGATCCCGATGCCAATCGTTTAAAGGAATCCAATGGGCCTATCCAACCGTTTAGCTGTACTAATGAAGGAACTGTTCAGGGTAAGAAACCACTTGTTTTGAGTTTTTTTTTCCCACTTGATGCTTACAAATTAATTTAGCTCTTCTTAGCTCATGTAAATATAGCTCGTCAGTAACATTCACAACAGTAAAATATAACAGCTTGCATGATTCAGATAGAGTGATTGGAGGATAAAATAACTTGGAGAATTCTCAACTGTAGGCTTTATTATATTGTTTGGGTGTTTATTTCCATGCAACATTTTTGGTAGGAGAAAGTTGGAATTGGTCCGTCATCCAATGCTTAGTTTCTAACAGGCCTGCTTCACCACTAAGCATAATTTGCAGATTCACAGGTAGAAGATAAAAACCATTGGACATTAAAAAAAGTTGCTGGAATAGGCAGCCCCAGCCGGTTCCCTTCAGGCTCCAAGTAATACAGCTACAGCTAGCTTTCAACCTGCATGGTTTAAATTTGTATAGCCTTGATTAATTTTTGTTTAATCAGTTGTCCCTCTTTTCAGTATGTCTTCTGAAGCGGATAAAGAGCAAAATCCTAGACCAATTATTAGCAAGGAAGACGAGGCAGTTGCACGCGGAGATGACAATGCATCTGGAGTTGCGGCAGAGGAGAAGCGTAAGCTTCTGTGTGAGGCTTCTACGGAGGTGCCAACGGCAAATGAAACCGATGCTCCTGCCTCTGGTTCCCAACACAGTTGGAACATGCAGCATGAAGGTTCGCCAGACCAGAATACACCAACCTCAAAAGGCAGCTTGGCAGGCAAAAGCGACTATAGTACAGAGAAGCAGCAGCAGCAGCAGCGACAGGGAGACAAAGTGAGCAGATACAGCATGAGAGACAGAGAACGACGGCGATGACACAATATCATGCACGGACTAATTGTAAAATGGCGCGTGTAAACTAGCCGACGCGAAAGATGATGGCATGACAAACGGAACATTTGTAAGCTGTAGGAAAATTTACAAAGACGGTATCAAAGCCACCCATTATTTTAGCTGCGTAGGGTGGTTGAGATTTAGGCGTCAGATTTTAGGTGGGAATCTAGTTCGCTACTTTTTCATTCATTAACTTCGGTACCACGATCATTCAAGTGTATAAATATAAAAACTTATGAATGGTGATTGAACATGCATTACATAATATATGTAAAAATCATAGACGGAAATAAAAAATTAGCTGATCATATTCCCGTATGTAATGGGGTAAGGGGAGGTAGGATAGTAGGTTGTCCCCAACACGCTAGGTAAGACCTCCGACTATTATGAATTGCCCACCGTAGGACTCGATCTTACGACCACAAGGTTAAAAGTCTTGCGCTCTACCAACTGACCATAGACGGAAAACAAGCCCACCATATATTTACAAGCATCTGTTCACATTACAAGTCCTCTACGACAATGTTTTTTTCCTTGCCTCTTTCTTGGTCGGACCGCATGTACGTACCAAAATGTTTTATTCACATTAAAAATAAGATGACGATTTATATTCATCAATAATACATAAAAGGTATATTTGACTATATATAAAATATAAATCCTATAAAAATATGAAAAATTATTTTATATATAGATTGTGTAAAGTTGTTATATGATATGTTTAAATTTTTAAGTTTTATAATTAGGATGTATGATTCATGTTAGAGTTTAACATTTTAAATTTCAAAATTTAGGGTTAAGTACACAAATAGTCCACTGACTATAGGGTACTACATTATTAAGTCTCTTAAATGTTAAAAGTTATAAAATGATCCCTTAACTATAGGGGTTTGCTTTATTAAATCCATCGACTATTAAAAGTTACAAAATAGTTACTCGACTATTCATTATGTTCCAAAGTTGTCCTTTTCCGTTAAAAATTTAACGGTTGTCTAAGCGATATTTCGGGATCAAATTATCATATCACAATCAACAAGTTAATGTTCAATTTAGAATACCGTTAATTTTTTAATGAAAAGGACGAGTTTGGAACATAATGAATAATCATGTGACCATTTTATAACTTTTAATAGTCAAGGGACTCAACAAAGTAACACTTTATAGACCAAGGACCATTTTACAACTTTTAACAGTCAAGAGACTTAATAAAGTAGTACCCTATAGTCAAGGGATCATTTTTGTACTTTACCCTATAATTTAAAACTATATGTATTTTTCTTTTATTTCATTAAGGGCCAAGCCCAATAACTGACAAACAGTCTCGAATTCAAGCGGCAGCATGGGCCTGAGTCATTGTGGGGAGGGTGTTTTCTTTATGAGAAAATAACTTCAGTGACCAAAAATCTTAGATAATATACGATTTTGACCAACTTTTTTTGGATTTGCGAAAATGACCAACAAAATCGCAATGCGATCTCTAATTCGCATTGCGATCTCCACTATCGCAAATTCACGTTGCATTTCGTATTGCGATAGTTGAAATTCGCGTTGCGTTTTTACATTTCGCGTTGCGATAGTTGGAGATCGCGTTGCGATTTTCCATTTCGCGTTGCGATAGTTGAAATCGCAACGCGATCTCCATCATCGCAAATTCGCGTTGCGATAGTTGAAAATCGCGTTGCGATTTTTCATTTCGCGTTGCGATAGTCTACAGTTGTCGTTGCGATTTTCCAAATTCGTTGAAAAAAAAGATTTTGTTTCTTAAGAATTTTCTCTAAAAAGATAGTATACGCGCGGACGTGTCGAAGACACGTACCACGACCACGAGACGAGACGAGACGGACGGCGGCGGCGGTGCGCGAGAGTCCCCCTTGTTCTCCATCACTCAACAAGGAAGTGGGAAAGCCAAGCCTTAAATACCATTCCCAATAGTGTTTCCAATACAATGTGGGATTGAGCATTACCAACACTTGTTTCCAATACAATGTGATTATTCAGGAAACAATTAACAATCATGCACCTTAAAACAACTGAATCAACAACCAATTACATTAGTATTATACGATTAAATATGTCATAATTAAAAGTCAATCTACAATCAATCGTGATTATTGTAATTTTAAGCAAAACATTCAAAAATAATATCACTATTTAAGGCTCAATCCTACATAGTATTGGGAACAAGTGTTGGTAATGCTCAAATCCCACATAGTATTGGAAACACTATTGAGAATGGTATTTAAGGCTTGGCTTTCACACTTCCTTGTTGAGTGATAGAGAACAAGGGAAACTCTCGCGCGCCGCCGCCGCCGTTCGTCTCGTGGTCGTGGTCGTGGTAATAAGTCTTCGACACGTCCGCGCGGATACTATTTTTTTAGAGAAAATTCTTAAGAAACAAAATCTTTTTTTAACTATCACAACGAATTTGGAAAATCGCAACGACAACTGTAGACTATCGCAACGAATTTGGAAAATCGCAACGACAACTATAGACTATCGCAACGCGAAATGGAAAATCGCAACGCGAAATGGAAAATCGCAACGCGAAATGGAAAATCGCAACGCGATTTTCAACTATCGCAACGCGAAATGGAAAATCGCAACGTGATTTTCAACTATCGCAACGCGAAATGAAAAATCGCAACGCGAAATGCAACGCGAATTTGCGATAGTGGAGATCGCAATGCGAATTAGAGATCGCATTGCGATTTTGTCGATCATTTTCGCAAATCCAAAAAAAGTTGATCAAAATCGTATATTATCTGGGATTTTGGGTCAATGAGGTTATTTTCTTTTTCTTTATACCTCCCCCACCTATCCTCTCGTCTCCGGTGCTTGGATCAATAAGATCAAAACCTAGGCTTCGGTTGCTTCAGTGAAAAGGAGTTACAATAACAACAATGCATTCCTCAATAGCCCAGAAAACATGGGAGTTGGAGAACAATATTCTCACAGTTGAAACACCAGACCCTCCATCGGATTCTATATTCTACTACGACGAGGCGGCTCAACCCAGAAAACATGCAAGAGAAGCCTTGGGCCAATGACCCTCACTACTTCAAGCGCGTCAAGATCTCTGCTCTCGCGCTCCTCAAGATGTTTGTTCACGCGCGATCTGGTGGTAACATAGAGGTGATGGGTCTGATGCAGGGGAATACTGACGGCGACGCCATCATTGTCATGTACGCCTTTGCTTTGCCTGTTGAAGGGACTGAGACTAGGTTAACGCTCAAGCTGATGCCTACGAGTATATGGTCGACTATTCCCAGACCAACAAACAGGTTTATTTTTAATTCTATTTTTTTATGATTTTGCTTTAAAGCTGGCGTTGATGAAACCCTAAATCATCCCAGTCTCAGTAATTTAAGTAGTTCAGCACCCTAGCCAAGACGAACAGGAAGATTTGATAATTGAATTTCAGTTGAACTAGATGGTTTTCACTTGCATCCTCGCAGTTACGTGTTGGTGAATGTAATGCTTTAAAACAAACCCCTTAGCACTGATTAGTAAGTAAATAAATAAATAAATCCCAAGTAATAATTGAACACTTTAAAAGGCAATAAATGTGAGATGTGTTTCTTTGCGTTACCCACAATATGTATTAGTATCGGAAATATGTGTTGCTATATAGTCTCATGTGTCTGTAAATATGGTAATGTTGTTGTCTATGAGAATCATTTCTCTTAAGAAGAATAATAAGATGGTTTGTTTTGTAGGCTGGTCGTTTGGAAAATGTGGTTGGATGATACCATTCTCACCCAGGCTATGGATGCTGGCTATCCGGGATTGATGTCTCAACCCAAATGCTGAACCAGCAGTTTCAGGTGCCCTTTCTGGCAGTTGTAATCGATCCAACAAGGACCGTTTCGGCTGGAAAAGTTGAGATTGGAGCTTTCAGGACATACCGTGAAGGCTATACGCCTCCCGATGACCCCATCTCTGAATATCAGACAATTCCTCTAAATAAGATCGAAGACTTTGGTGTGCACTGCAAACAGGTTATTATGAAATCCAATTAGCCCTATTTTCGAGAATGCTTGTCCCCTTGCTGTTGAATTTTTTGTTGTATGTTTTCCTGCAGTACTATCCATTGGGTATAACTTATTTCAAGTCCTCTCTTGATTGTCACCTCCTGGATCTGTTATGGAATAAGTACTGGGTAAACACCCTTTCTTCTTCACCTCTCTTGGGTAATGGAGATTATGTTGCAGGACAAATTTCAGATTTAGGTAACTCTTATTTTCTTGTTTAATTTTGTTATTTTGTGAGTAAGTTCTTGGTCGTTTATTTTGTTGACACCATTCCTTCTTGCAGCTGAAAAGCTGGAGCAAGCAGAAAACCAATAGGCTCACTCTTGAATCGGCCCACTAGGACCCCCTAGAAAGAAAGTCTGTATGACTTTTGGTATTTTGTATGCTCAAGCTATTTTCAGAGGATAATTGATCTTTCTCTCAATGAATGCAATGTGGCTACCCACTTATTAGTTGCAGGAAGAATCTCAGCTGGGTAAGATTACTAGAGATAGTGCAAGGATAAATGTGGAGCAAGTCCATGGTTTGATGTCACAGGTGACTTAGCTGTTCCAGATTGTTGGAAACTCTTTCTTTAACCTTGAATTGATTATAACATTCAGTTTCAACCATTTTATACCTCTAGGTCTTCAAGGACATTCTTTTCAACTCCGTACGGCAGTCAAACAGGTCTCATAGCGAGCAATCTGGTCCTGAGCCTATGGTTGAAGCCTGATCCTAACATCCTGCCAGATGAAATGGTTACCTTGAACTTGAAAGACCAGTTTTTGCAAGAAGAAACACATATATACGGGATTACATACTGTGTAGTGTTAGAAATCGAATCCTTTTGGGCGGGGTCATCATGGATCCGTTGCAAACTAAGCTTTTTGCCAAATTCTGTGTTAATTTGTTCATGTCGTGTAATAAATATTGAGTCCAAGTTTGCATACTATCTCTGCCTCTAGTCTCTACTTTGAGTCTTTTGTGCCAATTTTTTTTTGCAATTTTCTCCCACGCTATTAACCTTTTTTTCCCATCACTCATCATCGATGGTTCAACCTAATGATTTGCACCATTAATTTCTTTTGTTTAACATCATCATTACTCTTGGTGGTGCTAATAATAATTTAAGAAATGTACATAAATGTATCAGATCATAATCATTCAATCTCATAACATGCCACGAGTCTCAATGCAACATTCAATGGACTTTTCAAACCATATTTATTCATTTAAAATACATCCAACCAGAATCATTCTTTATTAATCATCATAAAAATTGATAATTTGGGCAGTTTATACCCGAAAAATCATTTGTGATAATTCATTCAAACACATTTTCAGAAAATTTCATATAAAAACATATTGGATAATTCATACCCAAATTAAATCATATATCATTCGTAAAGCCTTTATAAAAACATTATGGAATTATCTCATAATTAGAATTAAATCATCTTTAAAAATCATACGAGGTTGACTTATCGCAAGTCTCCCTCGATCAAAATAATTAAATAAATAAATTGAACTCACATTTGCCTCACCCCTAAACTTTCCTACAATGTTCTCTTTTTCCGTGTACTCTGTCCTTCATTTTCGAATCGCTAAAATCAGAAGATTTGACATAGTCTGTACGACATCACATATATACATCATTTTCGAATCATATGTTAATATTTTACTAACATGATCTTATTCCGATGAAAATGTAAATTCTATAAAAGTGATCGATACTAAATCATTACATAAACTAAATCATACTTCCATCATAATTTCAAACTTCTCAAAATACTTATTTAATTCCATAAATATTTATTTCCATCGTCCACCTTCAACTTTTACCAATTATACGATCATGCCACTAATTATGAATTATTTCTAGAGTTCATCTTAACTTTTTCATTAAATTCACAATGATCCTTCATCATTATGATCATTGCACATTTATTACTAAAATTTTCAGCACTTCAATAAAATACTCAAATTAATACTTTAACATTCAAAAACTTACAATTTCACCCTAAACTTTATTAGAATTGTCAGGTTCAACCATCCACCTTTATAAACTTGCAATTTGATCCCAACTCCATAATTAAACTAAAAAATCAGCATACTAATAAAATTTCCAGCCTTGCATTATTTTACCCAAATGATACTTCCATATTTAAGAAGCTTACAATCAAGTCCTAAAATTTATAGGACCTTTCGAATTTCCACCTTTAAAATCTCCCAAATTTGGAATTTGATTTCAATCATCTTTCTAACTTAAATTTTTAACATTTCAATATTAAAATTCCACAATGAACACCTCAAATATCACATTCATGCTATAATATCCCACAATTCTCAATACTTATAAATTAGCTCTTTTTCTATTTTAAACTTTTAAATTAATCCAAATTGATCTCCAAATCACATAGAACACTTTCAATATCAATCATAGACCATAGGAAATTTTTCAACATTTTTTCCTTAATTTTCCCCTTTGTCTGAATATACCTACTAAGCTAGGACTTGATTTCCATTCAATTTTAAGCATGAATTCAATCTCCTTACATCAAATTCATATTATTCTAATCATTATAACATCAATTCAATCAAAACTCAATCATTATCTATAAACCCTAACCATGGCCAATTATGATATAAACTTCTACACTTTAATTTAATCATCACCTAAGCTTTAGAATTAATTTCCAACATCAATAACATAAAAATCTTCCACTAATCTTCAAAATCAAAATTGTTCTTCATAAACCCTAACAAACAATCTCATCATCCAAGCACAATTTCCATGAATTTTTTATACCAAATGATAGAGAATTTCAAGAGGATCAATTCTCTATTTCATTCTTAATTCAAAAATCAAAGAAAATGGCTTTAAAATGGAAAAGAAACTTTCTCACCTTCCATGGAGTTCACGGCAGGTTGGGGCAGAAGATGAACAATTTTGCTGATTTTTCCCTTCATTTGTTAGCCTTTACACATGTTTTAATCTAATTTAATGAATTTAAAATTCATTTAATAATAAATTATCACTTTACCCTTAAAAAATGTAATAATTTCCATTTTTGCCGTTGAAAATATCTTATATTAAAATATTCATGGTCAAAGATAAACCAATTTGAAGTTGACTTTCAACTTTGGTCATGCATTTTTAAAATTTTCACTTTAGTTACCTAATTTCCCCAATTTCAATTATATAGGAAAAATTGACTTCAATTTCATTGATCCATGATAAATTTCAATGTTCTAAAATATGGAAATAATATTTCTAATATCCTTCAAATTTTTTTAAAATTTTGATTTCATCCGATTATCTGATTATCCTTCGAATTTCGAATCAAAATTCTGATTCTCACGAGAGAAAAATTTATTTCTGAACAAACTATTATTTACGGGCCAAAAAATAAATAACTTTTAAAAATTACATTTTTGGTCCCCTAAACTTTTCTAAATTTATACTTTATCCACTAAACTTTCAAAACTTATGTTTTGGTCACTAGCCAAAATTTGGGGTATTACACTTAACTTGAAGGCCCTGGTAAAATTGCTTCAGCCTGAAGTCCCATCCTGACTATAACTGTTGAAAATGTTAAAAATATGGATAACAAACTGTAATATTCAAAGTCCAAACCTGACTATAACTAAATGAATCACATTTATATGAGATTCTAGTGATAGGGGCAGGATGAGAGAGTTGGAGTAAGGGTGAGGTGACTGCAAATTTACAAACCCAAGACTGAGGGATGTCAATATGAATTCTGCGGGTGGAATAAAACATTTGTGGTGTAACAGTTATAGTCAATATTAGTTGGATAGCCAACATCAATGACTGCTCATCGGAAAGCAGATCAGTCCTACATCAATGTTGCCGGACTAAGGAGCAATGCTGTCCAAGTGATCACGTACTTGGGGAATTAGATGGGCTATAGTTGCTGGATGATTATACTAATGTACAATTTAAGCAGAACACTGTTGCTTTCTTTGCATAAATAAAATCAAGTTTATCCACCAAAAAATTTGTGGGCAGTAAGAAAAACAAAAAGAACCATAATGGTGAAGTAAAGCATGGTAATAAGAAATTGGGGATGTTCCTCTATACTAACTAAATGATGGAAATCCAACAATACTCGATGATTCATAAGTATATATGCATGTAGGTCATCCTATACAACCCATACAACTTTTGTACAGCACATACTGAAAGGAAAGTGAAGTGAAGTGCTAACTAGGGCTCCCAACCTGAAATATTTGCTGCAGCGCTTGTGGTAGATTCAACACAATCTCCGCATATGCTGTGGAACAAAGAAGCAAGAGGCAAACCAAGTGTCAGTGGAAAAACTCAATGAAAGTCGGATCACATATTACTTATCCGCTCATGGCAAAGCCAAAAAGTAATAAGGGATTTTTTAAGGCAATGGAATTGCCATCTCATGAAGATTCCTTCAAACTTGAATCCAAATACAAATTCAGCAGCAGATGATGTTTCACGACATCAATTACCAGGAACTGCTTCAACTGAAGAGGGAAATGTAAATGTAAAAGTAATACCTTCTGGTAAGCTCATGGTTCTCAAAGCATCTTCCGCATAAGATAATCGAGCTGGAATAGGTTGGGAGCCTATTGCTCCGGCGGAGCTTGTATGATTCTTCTTAAATTGATGCATTGGCCACACTAGAACTTTTACTCGAGTCGGAAGAACAGAAACAAGATCTGGATATCTAAGACTGATTGTCACCTTGCTGCAACAAATGCAAACATAACAGTCACATCAATGGCCAAGCAAAACTAATTACTTAACATGTATTGCCTGTTTAAGATAATAATTGAACCTTATAGTGAAGACTATTCTAAAAGATAAAGTTATTCTGTATTCACATTTTTATTAAAAAAATTGAAAATTAAGAAAGACTGTATGTATCAATCTACAGGCATACACAACGAATTTCAGAAACAAAAATATCCCTAAGATACAACAAAACTATGTAAATATACATAAAGTACAAAGTGGACCAACCAATCAGAATCATCAAGTGCAAATTCAATCATGTGGTACGGAAGACTATGATACATCTCTCCTATTTGATTTCCATACAGCTCCTTAACAAGCCGAACCTGTCATGGTGGACCAAGTAAGTGCTTCAAGAAACAAAACATCACCTAAACATGAGAACTACTGATTTGGGATAAGAAAAAATAACAAAATCATATAAGCAAAATGACAGCATTACCTGTTCACGCCTGTCCACATAAGCATGCAATAATTCTCCAATATGATCTATAAACGTCTGAAAGTAGATGGATAAACAAAAAATATTAAGAGCTGATATAATATTGTTATCTTAATCTAAGAACCAAATATGCAACCAAGTTACCATGGCATTAGAAGAAAGAAGATCATTTTCTACTTCTCGTAGTGGCAGAAAGAAAGGAATTGTATGTTCAATGACAGTCATCTTTTCAAGAAAAGACTTGCTCTCTAGCACACAATGATACAGCTCACAAGGTTCCCCTACCAAAGTTACAGAAAAAAGAACTGTAAGAGTAACCCTTGTCACATGACTGAATTCATTTTCTTACCCAACTTCTCTAAAAACATTATTTCTTTAAATCAAAATACACCACACAATATAAGCCTTAGCTTGAGGTGATGCCTTTTTACATGCCATGAGCCAACTAAATAGTTAACTGCAGATACTAATAATCAAATTATAAAAAACTTCTTCGTTAGTACCTGCAAAAGATGTCTCATATAGTATGCCGATTCTTGTCCCTTCCAAACAACAAATCACCTGTTCAATTATAAGTTTGAGCTCCCAAAAAATGACTTCACAGATACAACAATAAAAAAGCACGTATATAAAAGAGTTGTTGCAATATTGATCACTAAAAACAAAACCTATTGATAGTTACACATCTTTATGAAACTGACTTGCCTAACTAAAGAACTCTTTTTCCAACTTCAATAGCTTACAGTTTCATGAAAATTAAAAGCACTCCCCCCTTTAAATTTAAATCAGATACCAGAAACTGTTAGAGAGCTGCCCCAGCTTTCCTCATCTTTGATTTGAGTAAATTTTGATGATATTAATTTCAATTAGCATTCTTCCAAATCAAGTTTTTGAGAGGAAGATTTTAGTATCAGTTATAATCCAGATTATAGATAATGTAAATTGCAAAAAATAAAAAAACCATCGATATATTTTGTTACCTTATTTCCGACTCTGTAAGTAACCTTTTCCTGGAAATGAGATGTTGGAATGTTGTTTGTGTCCCCAGATGTGGCCTTTCTGTCAGCCTCCATATGAACCTGATCAAAAACCAGATAAGTTAGCATCTAGACAACTTTTATCAAATGGGGAGTAGAGAAGTTATCATTAACAGAATGAGTAATTAAAGCAAGAAAATCGCATCAAGACAAATCCAGAGTCAAAACTCTGAATTGAACAGTAAAATGGAACCACAAAGAAAGGGGGGAACACAATTACTTTAAAGCATTCAGGAAAAAAAAGATACCTGCTCTCTTATTGTAGCTAATAGCCCGTCATTCCACTGTTCACTATCTAAGTTAATCTCTGAAGATCAAAAGGGGGAAAAGGAAATTTCTTGTCAGAGTTAAAAATACATGAATGATGCAACCTTTTTTTCATATTAGATAGGGTATAGTACCAAATGAGATTTTAAACATATAGATCAAGCATTATAAAACAAATATTTGATTGCTGCAAACCATTTTGAAAAGGTTACTTGATACTGCAAATGCATATATTTACCTCGACTTTGAGAAGCTCTTGAAGCTTCAAATTCTTTTTGCAGACGCTCATATATCATCTTATCAGAATCCCTACCAATCATGAGTCATGACCACTTGGAGCATTAATCCTCAACGAAAAAAGAGAAAGACAGAGAATACAAGCTCGTTCATCAGATTTATACTCTTGGTTCATAAAACCAACAAGAAATTAGTTGTCCTAGACAAGTAGGTATAAGACATCAGCGCTATCATTTTTGTGTAATCTATCCGTACCAATATAACAAAGAAGATCCCTTAAGAATAAGGATAGAGATTATATATATACCTGGAGAGACGCTCTGTAAGTTGGGCGTTCCTTTTGACAACATTTGCAACTGAAAAAACGCAAAAGAAAATCATTTCCTTTAGAAACAGAAATCTTATGCATATATGAAGAATTACTATAGGAAACAGATATTAGTTACATCTTGCACGTGTAGTCTCCAATCGAATATCGTCCTCTTGCATGAAATTCTGTACCAATTACACAGTGAGATTTTGCCCCAAAACAAAAATTGATAACTACAATATATGGCTGAAATAAACTAAAAAATAGGAAATGAATAATTACTACTTCTCCCATCTCTAGAGGCTTGAGATAAGCTTTTAGCTTGCTGACCTGCAAAAAATTTCAAACATTTCATTTCAGGCTTGCATTTTGGCAACAATTCGATAAATTAAAAAAACATACAAGATAACGAGCTTAGCTTGTATAGATTAGTTAGAAACAGAAATTGGATACTTCATTAAACCTTGCCCAGGAACCTTTAACAATTCGGCGCGACGGATTCCACGAGTGAGTGACTGCTTTGCCTTCCTGTATTCTTTGTAAATTGAAACCGAACCCTAAAGGCCAAAACAAACTGGGAGGGGCGGGAGGAAAAAGAAAGGCTTCAAGGGAGAAAGTGAATGTTCGTGATTTCCATCTGTTATTATATCTACGGGCTCAAATGTTTGAGCTATTGGGCCGTTGCTTTTCCATTTTTCTACAGAGCATTGCAATACTGCTTAAAAGAAAACTGTGGGCCTTTATCGCTTTTACAATTGAGTCACTTTTTGCGTAAATTACACTTTTAGTACCTAAATTATCAATTTTGATTCATTTTAATACATAAACTTTTATTTTTCAAAATGATACTTAAGGTTTAGTTTTTGTTTCGCTTTAGTACCTTGTTGTTAAAAAATTAATGTTTGACTTGCATGTGGCACCTTTTTTATGAGTAAATTACAATATTCATCACTCAATTATCTTTTCACTCCTATTTTGGTCACTAAAGTTTATTTTTTTAATTTAATTATTTAACTTTCAAATTACTCCTAATTTAATCACTCTAAAATTAAAATTTATTTTTTATTTTTAATATATTAATAAAATAATAATAATAAATTTCATGTCAAAAAATTATTAATAAAATAAATTAGAGTGATTAAAATAAGAGTAATTTGATAGTTGAGTAGTTAGATTGAAATTTGTTTAACTTCAGTAACAAAATAGGAGTGAGAAGATAGTTGAGGGATGAATGGCGAGATACTAAAATGAAACAAAAACTAAAGGTTAGATATGGTTTTGAATAAAACTAAAAGTTTAGGTACTAAAATGGACCAAACGTAATAATTTAAATACTAAATTAGTAATTTACCCTAATTTTTTTTATATAAATGCAATTTTGTATTCACTCGAAAGCTGCAAAGCTAGACAGTACAACATCATCAACCAAACTAAAAGCACAAACAATTAACTATACAACCCACATTCAATACAAATATTAAAATTAATCAAGATATCCTTATTTACATATTTACCAAAGAATTTGTACCTAACAGCCTCTTTGATGTTGCTTACCATATCTTGCACACTATTTTGTCTACCCTGAAAAATCTTAAAATTTCTCTCCCTCCAAACAGTGAGCAGGGACGTACCCTTCAACTTTCTTACAGCCCAAACAAGCTTCGAATGCCAACCAAGGACCCTGCAAACTACACACCCTCAGCACAGCAAGCCAAACCTCTTTGGAGAAGGAATAATCAAAGAAAACATGGTCCCTAAATTCAGACTCACTACCATATAGGGCACAAGATCCCTCCACCTGCATACCAAAAGCCTTCAATCTGTCCCCTATGGGTAATCTATTTAGGATTGCTATCAATGCAACCATAGAGTACCTAGGGATGTGAAAACCACGTCACACCAACCGATGCCAATGCACTTTCTCCCTTCTTGGTTTAATAGTCTCCCAGACCTTCCTCGAAGTCACCTCTAAATCTATCACAAGGTTCACTGAGACAACTGATCTAAGCTTGAGCAACTTCCTCCAAAGATAGCTATAATTGGGACTAGTCTGTACCTGCCAAAAATCAGCACCCCGCAGGACATACTCGTAGATTCAGGCCACTCAAACACACATTATTTCATGTCTTTAGATCATTAAGCCCTACCCTCGTCTGACTTAAGGCTATAATTAGCCTCAACATCACAATTCTTCCACAAGAATCAAGAATGTAACTGCTCAGTACGAGTAAGAATAGATTTAGGAATTACCATTTGCCTACTCCAGTAATTCTGAATGATGAATATCACCGCCTGAATCTACCGAGCTTTCCCCGCATAAGAAAGGATCTGAGCATCCCACTTATGGAAACAAGTCTCAATCCTATCCAACAAGGACTTGCAATTCTCCATCTAGAGCTTCCTCCTTACCAAGGGAACTCCTAAGAAATTCACCGGAAGCTTCCCAATTCTGAACCTTGTGTCCTCCTTAATCTCCTCAAGCTCCTCCCCAAAGACGCCTTCTACATACAACTCACTATTGGCAGGATTGAACTTGAGCCTCGAGTCCTCATAAAACTGCTACAGCACCACCCAGATCTCCATCACATCCTCATACCTCTCCTTGGAGAAGATCATAAGGTCATTCGCGAAACACAAATGCATAACACGTACCATGTAACACTTAGGATGAAACCTAAACAACCCATGCATAACCGCAACATCCAACATGTAGGAGAGCACATTCATAGACAACACAAACATGAAAGGGGAGAAGGGATCCTCTTACATAACCCTCTTAACACCCTTAAAATAGCCAAACATTCCCCCATTATGAGCAACTGAAAACCGAGGTTGGGCCACACAACTTTGGATCCACCCAATAATGACTAGAAGAATCCCCAAAACCTAAAAAAAAACAGCAAACAAAAACCCTCAATCTATCGAATCAAAAGCTTTCTAGATGTCCACCTTCAAGGCACAACGAGGTATAGAGGAAGCCCGATTGTAGCCTTTCACCAACTCCTAAGCAATCAAGGTGTTATCAATAATATTCCTCCTTTGAATGAAAGCACTCTGACTCGAAGACACAACCTCACCTAGAAACTGAGAAAGGCTTCCAGTGATGATCCGAGTAACACACTTGTATACCACACTACGGCATAAAATTGGCCTAATATCCCCCATTGAAGCAAGATTAAAAAATTTAGGAACCAGCACCAAAGTGGTACTATTGAATGCAGGATGCATATGTCCAAAGCTGAAAAAATAGCTTACCACCTCAATCAAATCCCCCAAACACACTCCACGTCTCCTTGAAAAAACAAAAGGTGTAGCCATCCGGCTCCGAAGCTTTAACCCCATTAATCCCCTCATAGCCTCTTGAATCTCATCCCGCAAAACAAGCCCACCAAAACATTTCTTGCCTCATCAGAAAATCTGACCTTCAAGAAACTCCTCAACAACGACCTGGAGAAGTTCCCAACTTCCAAATTAGGATTCTCAATAAGGGACTTATAGAAATCCACAGCCTCCTCAACAATATCATCAATGTTATTCAGCACGCCCATCCCTATACATAATACTCTTAACATGTTGCCTGCACAACCATCATCGTATAAAAGAACTTTGTGTTCTCGTCCCCCTCCTAGATACCAGTCATCCTTGACTTCATGCGATAAAAACTTCACTACCTTTCATCTACCTTAACATCAATCAATTCAATTCCCTCCAACTCAATCCGCTGATCTCGGACTTTCCTAGAGATATCACCATACTCATCCTGGTTAAACTTCTCAAAGGTTGCTTAAGTTGTTTAAGCTTAAGGAACAATTTGTCCATACCCTAAATTTTTTTTAACTTATGATAGCTTATATATTTCATATACATAGTTACCTGAACTTTAATCTTTTAAAGAAAATTAAAAAAATACTGTTAAGATGATTTAATAATTTTTTAATTTAATTAATTCAATATAATTTTGATAACATTAACAAAAAAATATTAATAAAATTAAATATTTGATTATAATTTAAATATATTTTATAAATTTTAATTTGATTAGCACTGTCGAAAAATAGTGATTATAGTAAAATGCAATTAATTGTTGTTTAAGGGATTGAAAGATTATTTAATTATTTTTATATATGTGTTAGTATTTGAATTAGTACCTCAACTTAACTTCTTAGTTTAAGGTTTAATAATTTCAAAAATATTTTTATATTACTCCAATTTTATTTTTCCCCTTATTTTTGTATTTAAAAATTAAAGAAGTCATATTTAATAAAAAAATAATTAAATTTCCCCATTATATGATCGTTTATATGTAGATTAATATGATAGTAGTGTAGATTATTATGTTAGTACAATAAAACTATCATAATAATTTATTTAATTATCACGTTAATATAATAATAATTAATATTAATATAAATTTATTGAATAAAACCGACTATTAAACCAAATAATTAAATAAAAAATTAAAATAATAGCAGCGAGCGAGCGAGCTAACACAAAACAAAGGGTTGAAAATATAGCATTAGCAAACCAAGAAGAGGAAGGGGGAAGGAGAAGCAGATGAAAAAGGAACTCGGAAAAAGAAAATGCACTCTAATTAAAAACAGAGAGAGAGATTGTTATATGTTAGTATTATTTTAAAGAAAGAAAGAAGGAAGAAAAGGGGGAAAAAGAAATCGATAGACGGTGAGAGCAATCCAACCCCAAACCCCGACGCCAATCAACAAGTGTCGTGGCGGTGGATTTCGCTGCAATTGGTGGAGCAACTTGCCTAAGGTTAGCTTTTTTTTTATTATTATCAATCTCTCTGAAGCTTCTCTATTTTTACTTCTTGCTTATTTTTTCTCTGCAATTCCAGCTCTCCTCATCAGCTCTTAATCCCAGCAAACGCCACTGATCTCTTTCCCTCAACTTCAATTTTCCCATTCCCAATCTTTTTCCCTTTTTTCAGTTGTCTTTAAAAGTGATACCTTTGGGGGTTTCAATCGCTGCACTGTTCCCTTTTTATTTGCGTTTCGTGATGTTCCAACTTTTTATCTGGATTTCATGCTTGCTCCTTTTTCTCTCAACATGCAGAGATTAAGAGTTTGATTTGCATTGTATAACATGTATATAGGTGAATTCGAACTTCTTTGGTATTGGAGAGAACTGTAAATTGGGTGGAAACTAGTTTCAGTGGTTTTATAGTTCTGTGAATGGTGTAGAAATCTGCTTATTGAGCAATGCAGCCACAGCAAGGCTCCAGAATCAATTTAGGTTATTTAAAAGCTCAGATAGTGAAGAAGATTGGGGCTGAGAGGTCAAAAAGATATTTTTACAATTTGAGTAGGTTTTTGAGTCAGAAACTCAGTAAAAGTGAGTTCGATAAGTCATGTTACCGCATTCTTGGAAGGGAGAATCTGCCACTGCATAATCAGTTGATACGTTCAATATTGAAAAATGCATGTCAGGCTAAGACTCCACCGCCAGTTCATGAAGCAGGTCCCACTAAATCTTTGATACAAAATGTGAAAAGTTATGCCGGTAGAGATGATGGGTATGATCCAACTGGATCCCTTGTACCCAACCAGAATCCAAACATGGCCATTTCTTCTAATGGGGTTTTGCCAATGTCATCCCTGCGAAAGGTTAGATCTGGAATACAGGATAGGAAGCTCAGGATCGGCCCAGCCCACTGGAGCCAAATGGACAGGTTGAGAGTTTCTCACATCAATCCATGGGTACTGAAAACAATGGCAATAACTTGGGTCTGGAAAATGGAGATTTGACACCCTATGATTATCAGCGACCATTGCAGCATCCTCAAGCAGTTGCTGAGCAGCCGGAAATTGAAAGAGAAGTTTTGAGGTGTTCCACAGGGAAACCAAGGGTGCTTAGTAATTGTCTGACTGAAGGAGCTATTGTTGAAGACGGGGAGGAGGTAGAGCAAGCCAACCACATTGATTTCTCTAGAAATCCTTTGCTTGCCCCTCTTGGGATCCCATTTTGTTCATCGAGTGTTGGTGGGGCCTACAAAACTCTGCCTGTGGCAAGCAGTGGCAACTTCATTAGCTACTATGACAGTGGCAATTTGTATGATACTGAGACATTGAAGAAACGTATGGAGCAGATCGCTGCAGCACAGGGCCTTGGAGGGGTTTCATTGGAATGTGCTAGCATGTTAAACAACATGTTGGATGTATACTTGAAGAGATTGATCAGATTGTGTGTCCTGGTGGGGTCAAGGCCTTCACATGAATTGAGAAAGCACTCTGCCCACACGCAGCAGCAGCAGGGCAAGCTTGTTAATGGTTTGTGGCAAAGTAAGCACTTGCATATACAGAGTAGCTCTGGGCCTACAGAAGTTTTGCAGGAACAGGGGCAAAGGCGCTCAATTTCTTTGCTTGATTTTAAAGTTGCGATGGAGCTAAATCCCCAGCAGCTGGGTGAAGATTGGTCATTGCTGCTGGAAAAAATATGTATGCATTCTTTTGAAGAATGAATGCTAAAAAAAAAGATGTTTATCATGAAGCTGTTATAAAGATAAGTTCATTCTGGTTCAATGTGCTTGACAAATGTTGAAGCTCCCATTTTGTTTACATTTACTTACATGAACCAGATTGCTCCCAGTCAGATGAAGCTCTGTCCCTTGCAAGATTAAATTATGGGTTTGAGTGTTGGGAAGCCTGTACCCTTCGCTGCGGAGCTGGGACGAGCAGATTACTATTTTTTAGCAACTGAGCTAAAGTGCTCGAAAAGGAAGTACTTTTAACTTGTTGCTCTGTTGTACAATTAGCATTGTTGTTGGCTGTCTTCTACATATCTCAATATTTTCTTGTAATTTACAGCCATTGAGAAGGAAATCTAAGAAAGTTTTGCAGACACACTGCCTTGTAGCTTGGTGAACGGTATAATTATTTGTGAAAGAGCTGCATCCTTGCCCTATATGTAATTTTAGATCTGAGAATTTATTGAGTTTCAATATTAATAACAAATCCATTATATTTTCCACTTGGTTTATATTTTGATTTTCTGCCAAATGGCCACAGAAAAACCTATTTGTGAGGCTTTGATTCTATGTTTTTGTGGAGTTATTATTTGTTAATTGTAATTAATTGACATTCACAAGATTTCGTGGCATACAGTTTTCATATGCATTTTGGTCTGCATTTTACTTGCATGTAAAATAGTGTTGGACACAATCTTTGGGTTTTTCTAACAGCATTAACTTTGTTGGCCATTTCCGCTATCCATACCATTGGCAAGTATGTCGAGGTTCAGTTGTTGGACCAGTGAATGATGTTTTCATATTGTGAAGCACCTGAAAAGTATGTACTTTGCGCTTGATGATTGTTGCAGATGGTCGTGAAGTACTTATGATGGACATTATGAAATACCGATTCTCCCCAACATTGAAGGTGAATCATTCAGGCAATGCTTGTGAAGATCAATGTTCTTTATTATGTTGTATGTATGGGAAACATAGAGCAATGACATGATGGACCAATAATTCTTGAGCAGTTTTTGTTAAAACCTTCTGTCCTGTAATCATGTTATTACCCATGTTATCCCCTGGCCATAAAATTGAGATTTTATATTATATATTAGTTTGATTGAGGGGTTGTTTTTCAAGTCTCTCAGCAGTGCTCACTGATCTGCAACTGTGATTACATCCTCAAAACATGATTTGCATCGGATTAGCTTGACAATATCTGAAACATGCATACAACTCACCCGAGTTATTTTAGAACAAGACCAACTGCTCGAGTTAAGTTATTCCCTTCAAGGGAACGATTATTCAAATTGGTAGCTGACGCTTCGGTAACTCAATTTTCCCCCCCTCAAATTGATATCTTTTAAAAAAAAAAATAATCAATTAATTCATGATTCTAATGTGATACTTTAATAACCAATTAAGTTGTAATATATGACATAACGGCGTCAGCATTCTAACATATCAACTTAATTGATTGTTCAAGTGCCCATTTGAGAAAAAAAATTCCAATAGCATCCACTGTCTTGAGAGAGCCACAAATGACCAAAAAGATCCTTTGTTTTACGAGCAATCAAGGAAACGATGAAAACAAGTACAACATGGACCTTATGTCTGCTCAAACAACAATACCAAGAAGCATATTTTCATTCACATTTCTTTTTATGGGGAATGAATACCAATGCAGAACGAAGAGCACCTGGTTGACCGGTTGATTTAACTACTTGACACGAAATGGGTGTATTTGATATTTACATATATGATCATAAAAAAATTCTGAAATATGCCATCATTTGTACGGGTGAAGAAAACTCGGGCCTATTGCTTCCTTTTTTAAAATTCAACTTGATAATGAGGTAGGCGAATACAACTATGTGGCTTCTGCTGATGCTTTGCAAATAGGGCACCAATTCTTCATCCGTAGCCACTGTTGTATGCATGCAATGTGATACCTATGCTCACAATGCAACCTCCCTACTTCATCTCCAATGACATACTCTTCCTACGGAGAAAAGAAACCCAACGAATTCCATTAAGTTTAAGTGAAACCAGTCATATCCGGAGAACATTAATAAGGGGAAGGTTAAGTAGCAAAGGACCTGACATATACTGCATTTGATATCATCTTTTTCTCCCTTAAAGCAGACAACTGCATCTTCCGAAGATGTTGCCTCATAAATGCCTTTCTTAAGGCATTTTGATAATGCGTCCTCAGGTAGGGCAGTGCTCACAATACCCATCCTTTCTTCTAGAGCTAGTAGTTCCTGTCATGAATAGCAACAAAAGCTAATACCTCATATGCAAAATAAAATGCAGATTTGAACCCACATAGTGAAACGATAGCAAACCTCATATGACATATTATCAATATCCAATCTCATGTCTCTATGCTGGTCATAAAAGTTTAAGCCATCAAGGAGCAAGCCGGTCTCTAGAACAAGTAATTGCTGCAGGACAGAAACAGAATCAACAACATAGAATAATCAGATAAGCTCAGGCACTTCAAAACTAGTTACCTCATATGCAAACTCTGCATCTTGTTCACTTCTCTCAAGTGCTGATAATACCTGGGTAAATACAAAGCAAAAGTAACAGATGATGCTCCAATAGTTTAATGATGCAACAAAAGGACAACTAATGTTTCATTCAGCCTCTCCCAAGAGAGATTCTATAACACCAGATGATTCAAGAAATTAATGGGTAAATCCGTATTCAAAGCATCACACAGGCCCTTCCCTGAGTTCCATGGGAAAGAAGACAAGGGGAGAGAGAGAGAGAGAGAGAGAGAGAGAAGAAATTTTGTAAATCCATGCATAAGAATTCCAGGTTGGAATATCCTGTTTGTATACCTCATTTGTAAATCCATGCATAAGAATTCCAGGTTGGAATATCCTGTTTGTATACCTCAGCAATTCCATCCATATTGTAGCGCCGGAATCTACCCCAGTTCACTGAAGACCGGTAAAGGCCAACTTCTGAAGGTATAGAAGGCATGACACTGCAGAAACTCTCACCTACACTACCCGGTCGATTGTAAGAACTAGCATAAGTTGAGGCAGTTTCTGTGGAAACAGGAGCATTCAAATCCATATGTATATCAGATTCAGATGCTTGCGGGATGACTAAGGGTGAGCCGTTCGAAGTTAAACTGTTCCCATTTGCTTGATTAGGGGGTCTCCCTCTAGCATAACTACTGTTTGATCTCTGAATCCTGACTGAAGAAGTAATACTACAATCCCTACTAGAAGACCAGTTTCTGGCTTGCCTTGAATCAGAAATAGAAAGATCAAGGCTAGAACTGTTGTTCAGTCCCTCCAAAGATGACCCGCTCAACTTCTTCCCCCAGGTGGAGGAACTACCGTCTCCTTCAGAATTACTCTTTTTTACTGTATTTTCCTCTTTGCTGAGGCTTGAATCCGAAGATGGACAACCAGAAGAGACAACAGAAACGGAGTTACATCTTGGATTTCCCAAACCGTACTTGCTTGTGTTACCTTGTGTTGCATGGAAAGCACTTCGAGATGCCAAAGTAAAAGATTGACTTGCCTGGGTATCCTGGTTGGCCAACCCAGAATTTAGAGTAAAGCTTCTCCCTTGTCTTGTGTTTGATGCTAGACTAGAGCTTCCTACTTCCATCACGGTAACTTCCTCAATAGCAACATCTTCAGATTGAGGCTGCAGCCCTCTTCGAATCATTCCTGGTGGGGATACGATCTCTAACACTTCCGGCTCTTCCTCAACAGAACTAGTTTCAGATGAATCTATTCCCAGCTGAAATGGTAGCTTTCTGAGAAGATTTGTAGAGGATTTTCTAGTGTTGCCAACTGCAGGATATACACCAGAAGAACTTCCAATAATTTCCTTCTCCCTCGATGAAGTGCAGTAAGAAGGATTAGAAGATTTGGCCTTTTCAGAGTAAATATTGGGTGTTCCTTTCATAGTGTTCACCCTCCTACTGCATCCAATACGGCTGCAAAACTGTGCATTTTGCTCTTTGATATTAACATGATCCTTCAGGACAAGCCTTGATCTCCTGCCAGGTATAAGCCCACTAACAGCTCTTTTACCAATATATCTTATCCATGTAGGTAAAAAGTATCTTTCTGGAAAAAAAATGTATCATATTAACGGCATAGCCATGACATAAATTTAGTTCAGGAGGCAAAAAAAAAAAAAAAAAAAACAAAACCTAACCGCAAGCATACATACTGCCAGAAGAAACCACAAATTATGGTGGTAAGATAAAAACTACGAAAGAAACACTAACATACATAATAGATAAAACCCTACACTTTGTACTTGCCTTCTATCAATTAAAACTATGAAAGTCTAAAGGAGAATTCACACACAGTAAGAAATGGCAAAGTCCAAGAAGAAAAATGCAGCTAAAAAACTAAATGGAAGAAATAAGATAGAGAGATACTTGAGAGAAGGGAGGAAAGAGGAATAGAGATATAAAAGAAAGAAACACCTTTGTTATCAAAAGGATCAAAACACAGTCAAAGAGAGCAATAGCGGAGACTAGATGGTCACACGCTCCAGTACTGAATTTGTTCCCAAGAAAAGTCCCTCTCTCTCTGTAGTTAAATTATTCAGCGCACAATCATTTTCATTTCTTCTTTTTTCAAAGAAAAAGGAGACTTTGTCCGTGATTTGAGGGTGGAAAAAGCTTATCACCCATCATAAAATGAAAATAAACTTTAAAAAAAGAGTATAGCAGACAAAAGAAAACCCTAAAAAGGAAAAGCAAATTGAAGATTTCCTCAAGACTTGACCATGCCTTTCCCTTCCCAAGCTACTACACGAAAAAAATTCTTGGAAAACAGAAAGATCAAGGCATCAAAATAATCGAACTTTAATACGTATACCGGGATTTTGTTTCATTTTCATCAAAATAAGTGGTGAGAAAAGAGAATTCATGGAGGTAAAAAAGAATAAAAAAAGGGGAAGAAAATAAAGGGGCGTTAAATATGAAGGGAAAAGGCAACAATGTTATACCTCTTAGCTTCTCCGTATTGTCGTTTTGATTATTCGAATGTGCAGAAGGAGAGAAACCGAGATTTAAAGTCTTAAAGAAGATGAAGACAAAGAAGAAAAATGGGTTTTTTTTTTCAAGTGGGAATGAAGACGAAGAGTGCAGTAAGAAAGACAGAGAGCGGCATTTAATTTGCCCAAACGAAAGAAAAAGGAACATATAAGTACTTTCCACGTGTTTGAAAGTGAAGGAAAGACCCAAACTGCCCCGGTTTCCAACCAATCCAAACACTTAATTTTACTTTCTATTCTATTTAATAAATAGTTACAGGTAAAATAGTAAAGGGTAAACTATTTAAATGGTCACTTTTGTTTCACAGTTATTCAGTTTTGGGTATTAAATTTTAAAAAATATTATTTTAGTCACATATATTATCGACTTGTAATGTTTTTTATTGGAAGTTAAATGTCATTAATTTGATGATGTCTCACTTTAGTAAAAAAAAATTCTTATTTTACACCTAAAATTTAGATAAAATATTAATTTAACTCGTGAATTCAATCAAAATCTCTCATCGTCGTTCACTATCGACCATCATCACTAACACTACACTCATTTTTTACCTCCTTAACATAATTATGATATTCATTTTACTAAAAAATGTCTTAAACTTAAAAAATCTAACCTATAACTCTTATGTCTCCTTTGATGTTTTAAAAATTAAATTTAAAATGCTAGATTGAGATTCTTATATGGTCGATAAATCTCAACTCGCGATCAGACGACCTTAAATTTGTATTTCTCTCAAAATAAAAAAATCAATTTAATCTTTGACCATTTTGAAAGTGAACAATTGAGTATAGTAGATGTCACTATTTTTTTTTCATCAACTTTTAATTTGTATAGTTATAGATTTAGTTTCCCATATTTACACTTTCTTTCATTTGATTATAGTTTAAAACAAATCAATAAAATTAACACTCAATATTTATATATTCTAACAAATATTACGCTTCAAAAAGTCACCGTCAGCATACATCATAGGGTCATTTTAGCATAACTTTTGAAAATTAACTTTCAAAAATATGGTATAAAAGAAATTTTAAAAGAATTGTTTAAATGTGCAGTTTAAAATTTAACTGTTGAGATTATTGTTAAAAAATGAGTTTGAAAATATAAAATGTCTATTATAGATATTATGTTATAAATTTAAAATATAAAAACTTAAATTATATGTACACTTATTAACACTATGATATATAAATATTTCGATTTAAACTATAATAAAGATATAAAAAATATTTTAAGATAACTAATTAATAATATTTTTATAAATAAAATATTTTATTAAAAAAATATTATCAATAGTTTTTAACATGTGGATATAAAATTATTACAAAATAATAATTTCAATATTTGTTTTGACGAAAAGAATATTACAAAAAATACATTAGTGCTTATAAATTAAAGTGAATTTATTACAATAAAACGTAAATACATATTTGAGTGAATTTTATGCATTAGTAAATTATAATTTGCTTTATAACGTAAAGTTGAAAATGAAAAAGTTAGAAATCTTAACTTTGCAGTTGGTTTGAAATCATCGTTTTTACCGTAATTTCTTTTCATTTTTCACCCGTTTGATATTGATCGTGCGATCAAAACAAACTTTTTTTAACTAAAAGTGTTTTAGAAAATCATACCAATATTAAATTAGTCATTACTTATTGTAGACACTCATTTTTGTCAGGAACATCAAGGGTTTTTATTACAATATTTATATTATTATATAGTATATAATATATATATATATATATATATATATAATAATCTCAAAATTATATAATATGTTTTTAAAAATTATATATTTTCAAAAACCATATATTATATATATATTTTGAAATTATTTTATATATATTATATACTATGTAATAGTATAAATATTGTAATAAAAACCATTGATGTCTGGACAAAAATGGGTGTCTACAACTGCCCCTCTTTTTTCATTTTCGTGCAACGAGAGTAGGGCAAAGTTGTAGATACCCATTTTCGTCCGGGAAATCAAGGGTTTTTATTACAGTATTTATATATATAAAATAATTTCAAAATTATATAATATTTATTAATTCATTTTTCTTTTATTGTAATTGTTTATCACTCTTCTTAGTATGCACAAATGTTACAGTTATGAACTTAAGACTTGTGTTTTGGAGTATTTGAAGAGACTTCGTTATATGTCTTTTATATGCATTGTTTTGCCAAAAAAATATTAAATTAGGGTAAATTACATGTTTAGTTCTAAACAATTAGATTTTATTATCTAAACTTTTAATTTTTTTCAAAACCATATATAAAGTTTTGTTTTTGTTACATTTTAGTATGCCATCGTTAAAAACTTTAATTTTTGTTTCATTTTAGCACCCCATTCAAAATTTAAGGTTAAGTTTTGAAAAGTTGACAGTTTAAATATTAAAACAGACTAAAATTGATAGTTTAGTTACTAAACACATTAAGTTTTTAACGGTAGGTAAACATTAGATAGAATCTTTAAAAAATTGAAAGTTTAGATACTAAAATGGATCAAAATTAATAGTTTAGGTACTAAATATGAAGTTTACCCTTTAAACCAATGTGTGATTGATAAACACATCAAAGCAAGCACTGTACGTAACCAATTAGGATACCATATATGTCATTCTGAATGATGAAATTTGGTAAGAAAGAGTGGTTAATACCCAACAAATACCATTACTATTATTATTATTATCATAAATATGAATAAAATAATAAAAATAATATAGAAAATAAAGATGAATGATAGACATTCATTATTTATTATTATTATTATTATTCATTGATTTAACATGTTTTAAGTTGAGCAGCACGTATATATAGCAATGGAGGTGGGTGGCTTCAACTAATGTGCCGACTGCCGAGCCAACACGGGTACGACCAAGGAAATTTGGTTGAAAAGGTCAAAAAGGAAATCCCAATTTTGTGGGATGATTTTAATACCCGGTATGCATGTATGTACGTACGTACACCGTTGAGTTGTGCGATGTTGTCGCTCCTTCGTACTTTGATTTCCCTTTTACCAAACTAAGGAAACAAACCAATTTATCCTTTCTTCTTCTTCTTCATATACAACAACTATTCTTTGTGTCAAATCATTTCAATCATTTGTTCCGTCTCATTTACATGGCAACCGCAAGAAAAGAAGCAAGCGCGTCGGTGAAAGGGAAGAGCGGCACTTCCCCTTCGAATTCGAAGCCTTCTCCAAGAAAGCCTGCCGCTTCCTCTACACCTTCCGGTTCCACTGAGAAACAATTGCCAAACTATCTCAAGCCCACGAAAAGTTCACGCACTGATGCTGCTGCTCCCAAGGCTACAAAGAAACCTGCGACCGAAGACCCCTCCCAAAGCCCCAATGTTATCAGGAGAAGGTCGTTTGATAGGCCTACATCGGCTGCTCGAGCTCAGAAGGAACTCGTCTCTCCCGTACGTCCTAAAACGGCAACGGCAGCGACATCCTCGTCTCGTTCTTTGACTTCGAAACCTGGTGCTGTTGCACCCAAGGCGCCCTTGGAGAGGGTTGCCAAAAAGCCGAATGCTCCGACGAAATCACAGACATCGACGGTGTCTTCGTCTAGGAGCTCGCACAAGTCTCCTACTACTACTAGTACTATTAGCACTAAGACTAGGAGGGGACGATCGACTCCTGCTTCGGCTTCAAAGAAACCTCCTAGCAGTCCTCGTTCTTTGACTTCGAAACCTGGTGCTGTTGCACCCAAGGCGCCCTTGGAGAGGGTTGCCAAAAAGCCGAATGCTCCGACGAAATCACAGACATCGACGGTGTCTTCGTCTAGGAGCTCGCACAAGTCTCCTACTACTACTAGTACTATTAGCACTAAGACTAGGAGGGGACGATCGACTCCTGCTTCGGCTTCAAAGAAACCTCCTAGCAGTCCTGACAGAAAGGAAGCCCAGTCTGTTGAAACGGAGCGTGAAAATAAAGAAAATTTGGGTCATCAAGTTGAGCCTGAGAATGAGGAGGTTGTGAAAGATGATCAAGGTGAAGTGGATGATACAGAAACACCAAAAGCTGATCAGGGTGAAGCGGATGATACCAGAACACCAAAATATGATCAGGATGAAGCGGATGATGCTAGAACACCAAATGCTGATCAAGGTGGAGCGAACGATGCCATAGCACCCAATGCTGATCAAGGTGGAGCGTATGACGCCATAGCACCAAACGCTGCTGATCAAGGTGAAGCGGACGATACCAATCTACCAAAAGCTGAAGAGAGTAGAGCCACTGAAGCCATGGTGGTAGCGGAAGACGAAGATTCTACTCAAGTCACGAGTGTTGTTGATAAACGAGGAGCATATACCGATGATATTTCTAGTGCAATTTCGGAACAACAAAGCGGACGTGATATTTCTAGTGCAGTTTCGAAACAACAAAACAAACGTGATAATTCTAGCGCAGTGTCGGAACGACAAAACGAACTTGATAGTTCTAATGCAGTTTCGAAACAACAAAACGAACGTGATAATTCTAGCGCAGTGTCGGAACAACAAAACGAACTTGATAGTTCTAGTGCAGTTTTGGAACGACAAAAGGAACATGAGCCTATGCCTGACCCTGAACCTGTGTTTGAGCTTGAACCTGAGCCTCATACCGAAACAGTGAAAGATAAGGTTGAGGAAGTAAAATCTGATCATACTCCTCAACATGATGGTCCAGTTAAGGAGAATCTAATAAAAGAGGAGATCATTGATGGTGATGACCCCCAACATGAAAAGATTCACTGTAAGGATAGGGAGGCGACAACTGAAACCGAACATGGAGGAGAGCATGATGCAACCGAAGAGGTGGGTAATACTAAAGAAATCGAAGCAGAAGAACCTAGGCAGGAGGAGGATAATGAAGGAAGTCTGCAGCAGAGGCTTGAATTCAGTAAAGAAGAAACGGTTCAAGAATTAGATGCAGAGCAAAAGGCAGAGCCTGAGGCAGAAACGAAGGCAGCGTCAGAAGTAAAGACAGAGCCAAATATAGAAGTAAAGAAGGTGATAAAGGCAGAGCCAAAGACAGAGATAAAGGCAAAGGCAGACACAGAGGCAAAGATAGTGATAAAGGAAGAACAAAAGACGGAGGTAAAGGCAGAAGCCAAGACAGTGGCAAAGGCAGAGGCAGACACAGAGGGAAAGACAGTAGTAAAGGCAGAGCCAAAGGCAACAAATATTGTCGTCAAGAACCAAGTACAAGGAACGAAGGTATCCGCAACATCGTACAATAATGTGATCGAGGAAACAGCCACTGAGCTAGTACAACAGAGGAGGAACAAAGTTCTCGCACTGGTTGGGGCATTTCAGAATGTCATAGATAAAGAAACTTCTAAAGCCAGATCAACATGATTTTCCTTCAAAATCGGTAGTGATATAAATGATCAAACCATTTCCTGAGATTCATTCGATTGTTTTCAACACTAAGTATACCATAGGTTATTGTTTTTTTCATCATCGTCACCCCATGGTGAAATGATGTTTATTTTCTTTAAAATTTTCTTCTAACTTTCCGCTGATTATTGTATGCAACTCAATGCAGCAAGGGTTTGAAAGAATTTAATGTAATAGATGATCCAAAGGACTAGGCTTAATTACTCAATGTGGTAAATGGTAATAACCCAAAACTTGCTAAAGCTTATCCACAGTGGGGAACAAATCAGCAAGTAATAAACACGAAACACTCTTATTTACATGCGTTATGGCGATCTCAGCTACCGACATTTGTTGAAAAAACAAGTGGAAGACAAGAAAGGCATCAAAACATCGCTAAACTTCTATGAACTGATTGTTTTTGTTTCAACACCTCTGGTACAGGTGTCACAAGGTTATATAATTGTTCAGCAGTAAAAACACCAACTGCCTTAGACCCATGCGTGGTGCCATTCAAGTTGCTATGTTTTACAACAATAACCATTTTATACTTCTTTTCCAAAACTAGATCGACTACGTGACCGATAGTTGTTGTCGTTGTAACAAAAGTAGGTGGACTTCTCATCATTGTTGAAAGTGGGGCATTCATCTGCACAGGATCAACAGAAGTCTCAGATGAATTATAGCCAATTATATATTTCATACAGTTCATCAGTCATCACCCTTACACAAGTAATAAACAGAAATATGATGCATAAATTCTTATATCATGCAGGACAATGTAGCAAGATAAATAATCGAACAAAATCAAGAAAGTCGTGAAATGGGGTTATAAACCAATCATGTTTATATTAGCTAGCAACGAGGGTGTTAGTACCTCACAACAATCTTCACGGTGTAACAGCCCAATGCAGCTGCCCCAGTCATCTATAATAGGAACAAGTGGTTCTCTATATAAGCGCATTACTACCCTCTTCAACTCCAAAGTGCCAGGTAGAGGCCTAGCTGTTTCAGATGGCATCATGATTCTCTCAATAGGATCACCTGGCAACACCTGAATATTGGAAATCTTGTTATTTCAACTAAAAACTTTACAGTTTATCAGGACTTGGCACATTGAAACTGCTAGTTGTAGTCGCCATCTAATTAGCTCCACCAAGCCAATGGAATGGAAAAGACCATGTACCTGAGGAAGTAAGTAAGGACTGAGCATAGATTTGGTAAATCCCAGAAGAGCCTCTAGACGCAAAGCCACCTGAAATAACAGAAGTAGATTTAAGGAGGTGAACACGTTTTAACTAAACAGCATACTAACATCTTTTGTGGTGGTGTGTGGGGGGGGGGGATCATTTCAAGGCAAAGGATCTTTTTTCCCAAAAGAATTTCAAACATCTGAGAAATTTTGACAGGTAATATCAAACTAAATTAAGTGCAATCCAGATTATTCCCATCAAACTAAATAAACAGGAGCATGAGGAATACCAGAATTCTTGGATCAATAGAAACTAGGGTATTTCAGCATATTTTCAACAAATATAAAATGTGAAATATAAATTTTTACATCAATTTGACATATAATTAATTTATTTAAAAATATTAAATAGCATGATTATAAAATAATATTTTTTCATGTTTTTTTAATAACTTTAGGTAAGTACAAGACACCGTCACATTCTTGTGCTCGAATTTAGTACATCAAGGAATAACAATTCTATCATTATCGAGATCACTTGATTCTTGTGGTATTTATTCATATTTTTTAATCTATCAACATAATATGAACACAATTTATAAGAGAGCCATATAGATTTAAATCTTTTAAGAATAATAATATTTTTTATCATAAGATCATTTAATGAATTTTAATAGATATATATATATTTATTATTAAAGTATATTTTTAAGTTTATATAACATTATTAATTACTTTAATGTATTATAATATCTTTTTAACAAGAACTTTAAATTTAAATTTACTTTCATAATTTATAATTTAAGATTTATATAAAAAAATTAAATGTTTTAGAAATATGTTTATGAGCTTTGTCTTTTATTTTCTAAAATTATATATGAATTTTTAAACTTATAATAAAATTAAGATGCAACTGTATTAGGCATCAAACATACGGGGTTTAAAATCTTAAAAATAACCTATAACCTTTTAAATTTAACTTCAATTTTTTAGATATTTTTCTAAATAATTTCCTTTAAGTGTAATGACACAGTCTATTTCCCTAAACTTTTATCTGGATAAATCACACCTTTTATATACTTTAAACTCAAAAGCTTCACAGAGCGCCTCAAACCATCTCTCTCTCAAACCTTCATCGATTACTCTAAACTATCCCCAACCTTACATGCATTGTCTCAACCCTAAAACTCTTACATATCCTTCTAAATTGTAAACCTCAAATTCCAAAATTTTCACCAAAATCACACATATGATAGGGAGTAACATATCTCAATCCGATAATAATCAAATAATGAAAGAGACATAAATCGAATATATTTATTATAATACATGTTGTAAGCACCTTAGATTAAAAAAATGTATATCTATACATATTATATGTTTATATATTATTTTAGGTATAATGTAAGAATAACCTCATCGTGTTGTCAAATTTATTGTTTTATATTTTTTTGACTTAATATAAAAATAAGTGTATAAATTATATTTAAAATTAACTTTTGGTGCCTAAAGAATTTCGTGTTAAAAACATATGTCTATTATTTTTTCCGTTACACTTGTAGATGCTAACAGTTAAATGGCATGTGTCACATTTAGATTTAAAAAAAATATTTTAATAAAAAAACAAAGAACACAAGAATGTGTCACTTAACGGGTTTTTAAACAGTGGACGCCTAAAAGTGTAACTGATAAAATATTGTAGAAAAGTTAATTTTAAATATAGTTTAGACACTTACTTTTGTATTAAGTCTGTTTTTTAACATTTTATCTATAATATTTGACTAAATAATGACTTTGACCCTTATTATTTATGTTAATTGTTTGATAACTAATGATTTTCGTCCATCAAAGTGTTATTTTCCCTAAAGTAAAAGATATTTGTAGGAAATCAAAATAGAAGAGCTGAAGAAAATCAATTATTTCTTTGGTATTTTGAACGTTCAATAAGATTTTTAAGTTTTGATTTAGTTTCCTTAATTTATATGGTATAACCATTTTTTGTTTCTAGCTGATAGCATGTACTTCTTTGTCTGTTTTTAAGTCAACAGGATTGGTTAGTGTATGATTTAATGTAAACTTTTTCAGCTTCAACAATTTCGTTAGAAGAAGGATGGTAAAGGAAAGTAGCAGGCGAGGAAAGTCTTCCAAAAAATGGGGAATGCTGACGTGAGGAGCTTAATATACTGCTAAAAAAAAGTGGTATCGATTTTGTTATTGATAAAAAAAAGTGATACCGGTTTTGTTATTATTGTGCATAACAAAACCGGTAAAAATTACCGAAAACATCATTATTTTTACTGGTTTTGTTATTATTTGACATTTTACCGGGTAAAAATATACCGATTTTGTTATTGTTGTGCATAACAAAATCAGTAAAAATTACCGAAAATATCATTATTTTAACAAAACAGGTAAAGTGCTACTGGTTTTGTTATTTTTTTTACTTGTTTTGTTATTGTTAGGCATTTTACCGGAAATGTTAAAAAACATTGATGTTTTAGGTAGAAATAATAATATTTTAGGTAATTTTTACCGATTTTATTAACCTAACAATAACAAAACCGATAAAAATAAACTTTTTAATGATAAATTAAGTAAACGCAAATTATACAATTTTAAAAAAAAATCTTTATTATAAACATCAAATACAATAAAATAATAATATTTATTAAAATAATAATAATATTATTTTTAAAATATTAAAATAATTTATTTAATATTATTTATATCATATTACTATTAAAATTTATATCTATAATTTTATAAATAAAATTATGATTTTATATTTTATTAAAATAAATTATTAAAATTATATTATTATTTATTATAATAATAATAATATATCATTAATTATATTATAATGAGAGAATAGTGAAACATATGTGTCGATACATTTTAAAAAAGTATCGACACATATGTTACATCAAAACCGATAATTATAATGTAATAGGTAAATTTACAATATAACCGGTATAAATATATTGATTTTATGAGAGAATAGGTCAACATAATATATCGACACAAATTTAAAAAGTGTCGATACATTTTGTCCATAATGAATGCCAAACGAGGTGCACACATAAAGTGTCGATACATTTATTAAAAGTATCGATCCCAAAAACATCGAAACCGATAATTACAATGTAATAGGTAAATTTACAATGTACTCTATATAAATATACCGATTTTATGAGAAAATAAGTCTACATAATGTATCGACACATTTTAAGTTTGTGTTAATACTTTTTTCCAGAATGAATAACCAATGAGGTGCACGCATAAAGTGTCGATACATTTAAAATTATATCGATCCCAAAAACATCGTAACCGATAATTATAATGTAATAGATACATTTGCAATGTTTATTTTAAAAATAATATTATTATTTTGTTAATAAATAATATTATTTTATTGTTATCCTTGGTAACATTTTAAGTGTTTACCTAATATGTTGTAATAACAAATTAAGTAATTAACAAAATAATGTTATATAATAAGTTATTACTTAACTTATACGTTATAAAAAGTATTAATGAGTTTTTACGTCATTAAAATCAAAAGAATCCTTATAATAAATAAATAATCTTTATAAGTCCTTTACAAATTACGTTAATATGTATGTAATAATTATATAATAAATATTTTTTACAATTCATAAATAATTTATTTTCAAATAATATTCTTATTATATTACATTGTAAACTTAATTACAAGATGTAATTATTTTTTTCGTTAATAAATGAATATAAAAAATATTATAATCAATTAACGTAGTTTTTTTTATAACGTACAAGTTAAGTAATAACAAAATAATGTTATTACATTATAATAAATGTACAAGTTATTTTAAAATAACAAAATAATAATTAATCAGTTATGTTATCCTTGGTAACATTTTAAATGTTTACCTAATATGTTGTAATAACAAATTAAGTAATTAACCTATTTTATTATATAAGCGCTACCTATTACGTTATATAAGCGCTACCTAATATGTGATTGTGCTTGATAATGTTTCCAGTAATTAACTTATTTTATTATATAAGTGTTACCTATTACATTATATAAGTGATACCTAATATGTTATTGTGCTTGATAATGTTTATAGTAATTAACCTATTTTATTATATAATCGCTACCTATTTTATTATATAAGCGCTACCTATTACATTATATAAGCGCTACTTAATATGTTATTGTGTTTGATAATGTTTCCAGTAATTAACCTATTTTATTATATAAGTGATACCTATTACATTATATAAGCAGTACCTAATATATTATTGTGCTTGATAATGTTTCCAGTAATTAACTTATTTTATTATATAAGAGCTATCTATTATATTATATAAGTGATACCTAATATGTTATTGTACTTTGTAATATTTTTAATTAAATGATATAACATAATTAATCTAAATTTTAACCGATCACACCATCATTTTTTAAACGCCGTACAACATACTTCCCGAACCAAAAAAAGTCTCTGAAGGGGAAACTACTGCCATTGACTTGGATGTGTCACAGTCTACGTTTAGTTCACTACCTTCTGTGCTTGATTCTATTGTAGTTGTCTCATCACTGGAGCCTACTGTATCTGTGACAGGTACTATTGAAACTGTAGTAGACATAATGCTGGAGTACCCGCTGAGGTTGTGGCCCATGGTGAATGTGATGTTGATTCTTTAGTCTCTAATGAAGGAGAAAATACTAGGCGTGTTAATAGTATTATGAGCACAGAAATAGGGGACATATCTCCTTCCTCAACTGCAGATATCTTGTGTTCTGAAGGGGAAAGAAAACATGATATTGTGCCACATTCATCTACTTCAGTTGATTCCATAGAAGGGACAGTGGTGAAACTCAATTTGGCAGATGCCAACAAAGAAATAGGGCACAATCTACTTTTTTCAAAAGATGATTTTCCTGATACATCCTTGTCTCAAGCAAAGAGAAGATCAGGTACTGATGTAGGTTTTGCTCTTCTTCTTCTCTTGGTACCCAGTTTTTAATTTCTTTTCTCATATCACTCTGTGTTAGGGGATCGCATTGGGTAAATATCGGATGAGTTATGGGTGGTTTGATGAATAATTAAGTTGTTATTTGTTGCTGGGTAGGGGCAATGCAGGAAGCTGATGGTTTGAGGTTTAACCAATTTGAAAGAGGCGGTGAAACTGAGTTTGAAGTTGATGGTAAACTTCCTTTGTCCAAGCATGGCGACTATGCTAAACCTCTTGAAGGGGCAACATCAGATGTAACTAGTGTAGAGGGGCGATCCAGTGAGACAGAGCAGTCCAATAGAGATGATGCAACTGTATCTACTGTGGCAGCCAACAGTTCCCAGGCAGATGAAAGTTTGGCTGCTAGTTATAAGTTGACAAATAAACTTGTTGAAGAAGCAATGTCTTGTTCACTTGTTGAAGAAGAACAAGTGAACAAGATGTGCAATTAATAATTGTTAAAATAAGTCAAGATTTTAATGCTGAGCTATTGAGAATAGGGCAGTATTAAATACTTGATGAGAAATGTATTATCATGAATCATAAAAAATAATTAGTTTTTAACATTCTAAATATAAAAAAAAACTTATTTTCACTATCAATATAAAATATTAATCAAAGACGCATAACGATAAAATAAAATTATTTAGAAAGAAAAAATATCAAATATATTAAAAAATATTTATTATTTACATTAGAAAAATTAAATTATAATACTTTTATTGAATCTATATAATAAAACATTTTAAAATTTAAATGTACTTCCTGTATGGGCTTTTTGGCTAAATGGTTTTTCACTAATTTCCTATTCTACTAGGCCTAGCTCATTAATTTTACCCTTCACAAAACAATTCTTTATGGTATTTTTTCTAATATGATAAATAGTTTTATTAATTATTTCAATAAGACATATAGAAATTTATTTTAAGATTTACTACATTTGTAATAATGTTCAAAGAACTCATCACGTCAAGGTGATGCATATACTTAAATAATATTTTTTATTCAAATTTATTATGTTAAAGTGATAAATTTTAATAAAATATATTTTTAATTAAATTTTATCACATCATAATAAAATTTTAAATAAATTTTTTTATTAAATTTTATTATACCAAGATAAAAATTTAAATAAAAAATAATTTTATTAAAATTTATCACGTGAATATAATGAATTATAAATTTTTATAACAAATATCATAACTCTAAATAAATTATTTTGTATCGTATTAGGGATAAATTTTTTCAATTGTCTATCCCTAAACCTCCTTTCCCTATAAAGCTCGAAAGCCCTAATTTCTCCCCGACGACCCCAAAAAGCAGAAGCCGTTGTTTCCTCCTCTGCGCCAATTGCAGCAACAGGTTCCAACTTCAAATCTTTCTTTCTCTTCTCTAAATATAATTAGGTTTTGAAATTACTCGTTTTCTTCCGATTGTGATAGGGAATATCTGTATAACAACCTCTTCGTTTATTTGTTGAACTTAACCTTGGATAACGTTGGACATATTTTGTAGCTTTGTTTTGAGCCCCTCCTTAAAAGCAATGTCTCGCGTGTACGTGGGTAATCTTGACCCTCGAGTTTCGGAACGGGATCTTGAAGACGAGTTTCGTGTCTTCGTAGTTATTCGAAGGTATAATATTGTTGGTGTACCTTACCATTTTTTTTCATTGTATGAGCTGCTATATTATACACGAGATAGTTCACTTCCTTTAAGCAAGAATTTGTTGTTGTAATTTCTTCTATTGTTTTCTTATGATTTGCTGATTTTTTTTTGGTAGTGTATGGGTTGCTCGGAGGCCACCGGGTTATGCTTTCATTGAATTTGATGATCACAGGGACGCTGAGGATGCAATTCGTGGATTAGATGGTATTCTAACCAGATTCTCTTGTTTCTGACAATGACACTAGTTCTATCCTTAACTTTCTGTTCTGCCCGTTTAGATGTGTTCCATTTCAAGTTGAAACTGAAAGAGGCCCAATTTGGCTCTTTTTTAGGAACTAGATCATAGTTATCAAGCTTCTCTTTGTTTATAATAGGCAGGAATTTAGATTTTTGGTGAAAATCTTGATTTTGACATTTGCTCTTTTGTTTTATTACTTTTGCATATGAGATTTATGAAGAATTTGTTTTTTTAATTTTTACAGCTGTGTTTCAAATTATTTCCATAATTGTTAGTAATATGGTTCATATGAAGGGACTCCAATATACTTGCTATATGATTTTTTCATCTTTGTCCCTTTTATTTCATTTGTTCACACTTTTAATGCTTTAGTTTGAAAAAAAAATGCGTGAACTTGATTGCATGGTCATACTCTTTGCCTTTTTCATCCATCTAAACCGGAAGTTTCAATTTTCCCCATCTTAGTGTTATATTGAATGAACATAGCTAATCATTTGAGATAAATGTCCTTTACCAGCTTTAAAGTCTATGGTTTGGATTTTGATCAGGCAAGAATGGCTGGAGAGTTGAGCTTTCTCATAATTCTAGAGGAAGAGGTGGATGAGGAGGTGGAGGTGGTCCTGGACGCTCTGGTGGTTCTGATTTGAAGTGCTATGAGTGCGGGGAGCCTGGTCATTTTGCTAGAGAATGTCGTTCGCGTGGTGGTTCTGGAAGACGTCGCAGCCGCAGCCGCAGCCCTAGATATCGTAGGAGCCCAAGCTATGGACGCAGGTAAGGCTTACTAAGCCAACATTGATTGCTTTTTGTGTTGATTGCTTGATACTTACTGATTTGAAGTAGAAGTTACAGTCCTCGTGCTCGATCTCCAAGACGTCGCAGTCCCTCTCCTCGAGGACGTGGCTACAGCAAGTCTCCACCATATCGTGGTCGTGAGGAATTGCCATATGCTAATGGGTGAGTTTCCTTGAACTTTATGCTAGTAACTAGAAAGGCTTTCCAATTGCAATGTTTTTTGCCTATAAATGACATTTTTTATCATCTCACAGCCATATTTATCTTTGTTTAATTTAGTGTTTTTTTGGTTTTTGATCATGGTGTTTGTGTGAGTGTGACATATATTAATACTGAATTTGGTACAGAAATGGTGCAAGAGAACGCCGCAGGAGTAGGAGCTAAGTAGTGCAAGGATGTAACTTTTGTTGAAGAGACTGGGCTTAAGTGTGTTTAGTTTGTTTGGACTTCAATGCTACTATTTTTAATTGGGCAACGCCCTTAGCCTCTTGGATTTGGATAAGTTCCTTTCTGTTATTCCTTTTTTATGATGCCTTTTCTATGTTAAAACATAGTCTCTTTTTTATGCGAGGGGAAAAGAAGCTTAAGCTTGCCTCTAAAAATTTATTTAGAATTTATTCATGGAACTCTGCTAAAAAGATTTTTGCTTTTCTTTTTTGTTGAGGTATCTTCTGCGTCTGCCTCATTACTTTTCTGCTTCTACACCTAAGGGGTTTACTTCTTTGCTGCCTGGCTCATCTTCAATGCTTGATATTTGTGGGTCAGGTCCCATTTGGTATCTTCTGCATATGCCTCATTACTTCTCTGCTTCTACAACATAAAGGGATCATCAATCTTTGATCTTTGTGAGTCCCGTTCGGCATGTTCTGGGTCTGCTTCATTACTTTTCTGCTTCTACACCGAAGGGGTTTACCTGTTTGCTGCCCAGCGATGGGATCTTCAATATGTTCATTGTTGCCTCTGTTTGAATGAACGAGTCTCTCCATATGTGATGAACCTCCCTCTCCCTCGCTAGTGGCATTTCTTTGCTTTAGCTTAAATGGGTGCAGAGCTGCGTCAAATCCCTTCTGGCAGGTACTTGTATATCTGTTCTACAGAAGTTGATGTTTTGGCGCCCTTGCAATAGGGATTGGTAATCAATACATCTAATTTGTTTGCGTTACTTTTGGACTTAAAATATTTAGGAGGATGCAATGATATTTGTTCTTTTCAAGATGCAAGGGATTATTCGTGATAGTCTGTTTACTTCCTCTCTTTTTCTTTTTACCGATTGAGAATTTTCTTTCTTTTTTCTTTTGAGGGTTGGGTGGGATATTTGTGAGTGTTCCGGTGGATTTTGTGTGATGGTTGGGTTTTAGCTGCACAACCTGATGAGCCTGAAATCTCCCCTCAAGTTAATCATTATTTTCCCACTCGGCTCTATTGAGTTGCCGGTTCTCTTTGTTGTCGACCGAATGATTGGTTAACATGTGAAAGTTTGGTGGCTGTGTTTGTGTTAACGGCATAGTCTATGGTGCCATTGCTTAGGACGATTAATATTCATTCAGTGCCTTGAATATCGTTGTTGCATATGATATGTGATTATGTTGTGTGAACACCTGATGTTACGCCTTTTAGTCCAAGACTAGAGTTAGGCCTGTAAATGAATTGAACGCACATGAACTGAGGTATGTTCATGTTCGTTCATTTAATAAATAAACGAACATAAATGAATACGAACATAAACGAACAAAATTTTTTTTTGTTCATATTTGTTTATTAAGGAATATAATTTGTTCATGTTCGTTCATTTAATAAATAAACGAACATAAACAAACATGAACATAAACGAACACGAACATAAATGAACACGAACATAAACGTTGGAGGCCTTACCTTCCATTGTTCTTTCATGAAAAATAGTCAACAATGCAAATCAATCAAATTTACAGTGATAAATAGCGTAAGAGTTTATCAGTAGTGATGAAATGTTTGAAGATATCAAATATTTCGATCGATCTTTTCAAGATATTAAATGAATTACACGACTTTAATTTAACGCTATAACATTTATCTTAGTGGTTCATGATTACATGTGAAAAATCATTTTTCACTACGTTATTCTAATAAATTCATTGGCTAAAAGTTTTGTGACATCAATGTCAGACTTTAGTGAGGTTTGTTAATAATGGTCCTTTTCGTTGGCAGAGTAGAAAATTTAACAGAATGAAGATTTTGAACGGTACAAATTGGACTACAAGTCAATAACATAGATCCAGAGTCCCTTCGATGATACATATCGTAACTGATATTATTGCTAAACAATCATTCAAAATTTTAACGTACCTAAAGTCTACTCCACAACTAAAGGTCACACAAGAACTATGAAAACAAAAGTTCATTGTCAAAGTGTGTTTTTTACTTATTAATGGGTTCTTCCTGGAAAACTCATTACTTCTACTATTACACTCTTTTTCAGAAATTGCATAGAAATCTTTATTTTGTTTTCTGGTAAATTCTATATATTTTTCTCTTTACTGATACTCATATACTTTTGATTATTATCTTTATCTTTCCATCTATTTATAGAAAGAAGTATGATGTTTTCTTGAGTTTTAGATGTGAAGATACTCGCAATAACTTTACATATTAACTATTAAGTCAAATAAAACAAAGAAAGAGATGAAAACAAACCTGTAAAACTTTAGATTGCACTATAATATAACTTGTTTTTGAAGCTTTCAGCGATCGTCTCCACTCTTCAGTGAACACTAGGGTTTGGGGAAAAAAGGGGAAAATGAATATAGGTGAGAGGTGTCTCACGGGTTAACATATTGGATTAATCTCCAAATAAAATTGGGTTAATTATGGAGTTGGTCATCAGAATATCAGATTAATTAATATTTTTAAGATACTTACAAATTGGTCACCAAAATTGATTTAAGAAGATTGGGTTAAACATAAATAAATGAACATAAACGAACATAACCGAACGAACATAACCGAACGTTCACGAACGTAATGAACGAACGAGACCTATGTTCATGTTCGTTCATTTAAGTAAACGAACAAAAAATCTTGTTCATGTTCGTTCATTTAATAAATAAACGAACATAAACAAACATGAACATAAACGAACACGAACATAAATGAACACGAACATAAACGTTGGAGACCTTACCTTCCATTGTTCTTTCATGAAAAATAGTCAACAATGCAAATCAATCAAATCTACAGTGATAAATAGCGTAAGAGCTTATTAGTAGTGATGAAATGTTTGAAGATATCAAATATTTCGATCGATCTTTTCAAGATATTAAATGATTTACACGACTTTAATTTAACGCTATAACATTTATCTTAGTGGTTCATGATTACATGTGAAAAATCATTTTTTCACTACGTTATTCTAATAAATTCATTGGCTAAAAGTTTTGTGACATCAATGTCAGACTTTAGTGAGGTTTGTTAATAATGGTCCTTTTCGTTGGCAGAGTAGAAAATTTAACAGAATGAAGATTTTGAACAGTACAAATTGGACTACAAGTCAATAACATAGATCCAGAGTCCCTTCGATGATACATATCGTAACTGATATTATTGCTAAACCATCATTCAAAATTTTAACGTACCTAAAGTCTACTCCACAACTAAAGGTCATACAAGAACTATGAAAACAAAAGTTCATTGTCAAAGTGTGTTTTCTACTTATTAATGGGTTCTTCCTGGAAAACTCATTACTTCTACTATTACACTCTTTTTCAGAAATTGCATAGAAACCTTTGTTTTGTTTTCTGGTAAATTCTATATATTTTTCTCTTTACTGATGCTCATATACTTCTGATTATTACCTTTATCTTCTCATCTATTTATAGAAAGAAGTATGATGTTTTCTTGAGTTTTAGATGTGAAGATACCCGCAATAACTTTACATATTAACTATTAAGTCAAATAAAACAAAGAAAGAGATGAAAACAAACCTGTAAAACTTTAGATTGCACTATAATATAACTTGTTTTGAAGCTTTCAGCGATCGTCTCCACTCTTCAGTGAACACTAGGGTTTGGGAAAAAAAAGGGGAAAATGAATATAGGTGAGAGGTGTCTCACGGGTTAACATATTGGATTAATCTCCAAATAAAATTGGGTTAATTATGGAGTTGGTCATCAGAATATCATTAATTAATATTTTTAAGATACTTACAAATTGGTCACCAAAATTGATTTAAGAAGATTGGGTTAAACATAAATAAATGAACATAAACGAACATAACCGAACGAACATAACCGAACGTTCACGAACGTAATGAACGAACGAGACCTGTGTTCATGTTCGTTCATTTAAGTAAACGAACAAAAAATCTTGTTCATGTTCGTTCATTTAATAAATAAACGCATATAAACGAACTTCTCGTCGCACGGTTCATGAACGGTTTGCTGAACGTTCAGTTCATTTACAGGCCTAACTAGAGTAGTGTGCTTCCAATTTTTCGAGTGAGATCGGATAGTTTTTTTACCTTTAAAATTTTTGAAGTTTTGAACCGTAAAATCTGTCAACTTAATATTGATTAAATTAATTTATAATTCTGATTTATTTTACTGTTATACACACGAACTAAGACCCCGCACCTCTCCTCTGCTTGCCGACAGTTTGAAGCGCTCGCCAAATATATATGAAAAATAGTAGTAAGCTAAAGGCTACAGAGTGGAGGAAGGGAATGTATGTTCTATATATGTTATAGCATGATGTACAAGATGATGTGTATGGAAGCAGAGAGCCAGAAAGTTCTCAAATATTGCATGCTCATTTTGTTGCCTTACTCGAGCTTTCCAACTTTACAAATACAATATGGTCAACTTTCCAAGCCACATTCAAGCAAGAATCGGGGTCTCAAATCCTACCTATAACAACAACAAATGCTTCAACGTCAAAGGAATAATAGATTGCCACTATCCGAGGTGAAAGTAGGACATGAAATGTAAATGAAAACTATCCGAGGTGAAAGAAATAGGACATGAAATGTAAATGAAAACAGCGACTATGTAATGTGTAAGATAATTTTGAAATTAAATATTGAAGTTGATTCTGTTTGTCATTTAGAAGATGTTAATTGAGCTGTTGAAATTTGTCACGTCGGATTCATAGGTTGTCCATATTTTCTATCACGACTTCTAGAAAAATTCAAAATTTACCTTCAATTATTGGTTCTATACTAATCAATTCACACAAAGTTCCCACACGAAACAAATTAAAATTGAACCAAATTAGTAATATTAAAGTAAAAATGGGTTAATAAAAAATAAAGTAAAAATTAGAAACAAATAATAGTAAGAACATGTATTATTCAACCCTTATCAACTGATGAACAGATTTTTAAATTGAAATTTTTGAAAAAATTTCAACTCGGAAATCCCTGAAATTATATACGTGGATGATCCATTGTATTTTTAGTCCTCAATATCGGAATTCATTCCTTTACAATCTCAACTACATAATAAAAAATTGTATGTTTATGAATTAAGGTTATCAACGTTGGCTACGTGGGTTTGAAGAAAAAATGGGACAAAAATCAACTTTGTTAATGTTTCCTCCTCGTGTATAGGTGAAGCTTTATATTTAGCAAAAGCAGCCAAACTGTTTTGGCTTCTAAGATTTGCTGTATTGTATTATCCTTTAAAAAATTAAGATTTGTTGTATTAAGTGTATCTTAAGTCATTAAACCATTAATCTTAAATAAAAAACAAAAGAGAATCACATGAGAAAGACAATAACATTGTTATGGGTGCAATAATTGGTAACACCCAAACATAATTTGGTTCACGGAAACATGCCTTCTTCTTCTTTTTAAAAAAGAAATTATGCATTGTTTTAGAGTTGTTTCATTTGGAAAGGGGGAATGTATCTATTAATAAAAAAATATTTTGTGATAATATTATAAAAAATGGAGTATTTATTTTTAGGATAAAGTATGTAAATGGTCTTTCGACTTAAAGTATTATTTTATTGAGTTATTCTATCATTAAAGTTATAAAATAATCTCCTAATTATAAGATATTATTTTTTAAGTCCCTCAATTATTAAAAGTTATAAAAAGATCACCTTAACTATTCATTAGGTTCCAAACTCACTCTTTTTCGTTAAAAAATTTATTGTAGTTTGAGCTGAATATTATCCTGTTAACGAAAAAAAAGACGAATTTAGACCAACCATATCTTGTTCCAGACCTGCCATTAAGAATTCCCACTAATTTTGTTTGTAGTGTTTGAAACGAATTTTTTAGTTTTGACACAACCAGGGCAAAACCCTAATACAGCCTAGCGGCCGAGAGAAAAGAAGGCAAAACCTTGATGGAATTAAGATTACAGAATTATAAATAATAATATAAGAAACCAGAACGGCCAAAACGACTGGGTAAAGACAGAGATGGCACCGAGTTAAAAGGATGAGATGGGGGAAGATAGGCTTTTTCCAGTCTAAAACCTTGAGAAGTGCTCGATTTTTATTGCATCACAGCGAACTACGGACCTAGTTTTGTTCACTCTCTTAAATCAGCAACCATTACAAGAATTTACGATCAGCCATACACCCTCTTAACCGCTACATATCGACAGCTCTTCACTTGTGAATTATAGAGGAAACAAACGCAAAACTCTCAACTTCAATTAATAATCTATCTCGACATTTGCTGGCTAAATCGTTGTATTCCGTAAACATCCACGATGCCCGGAGGAAAAACTGGATCGGTTGCAGCTCTCACTGCTACCTTGGCAACTGCGGTAACGTTAACAGGGGGAGTGAACATTGGGCCAACTAGCGGTATTTGGTTCAGTGGTTTAGCATGCTGGAGAACCTGTAGCGATGGAAGAAATCTTAGTTTTATGACTTCTGAGACAGACTTTCATGAACCACAAAATTCAAGCTTATGCTCCAATACGCATCGTTATAGTTAACCAAGGCACAGTTCATTATATGCTGAATACTGATTACTTCCACCAACTCCCTACAAACTAGGATGAATCATTGGACCCAATCATTCTGTTGTTTTAGGCGAGGTTATAGATCAAACGAAGGCAACATACAAAAGAAAAAAAAAAACTTCGAATGCATGCATTTACCGTTTCTAGTGGTGAACCAATAAAACCTAGAGGTAACTTTATGTTTCCAATACGGCGAGTCCCATGAATGAAGCCAGGCCTTAAAATCACCCCTGCAATAGAAAACGAAAATTCTCAAGTGATGTAAAGAACCATAACCACCAGATGGTGATAAAATCACACGTCATTATTAGCAGTAGCAGGCTACTATCTAAACTAAAACTGCAAGAGCCTACCATAGCAATAAGTCAATAAGAAGCAATGTGAACGTTAAGTGCAGAATGTAAAAAAAAATTACATCAAGTGAATCAAAAACCTACCTCCGTATGGGAATTTATCGAGTAACTCCATCTCTGCAGCTCTCTGTTGCCAAGTGAGACAAGAACAAGAGAATTTTCCATCAGAGAGAAGATAATAACCAAAAGACTTCTTGAGGCATCATTCCATTACTTATCAAAATAAATTTTCAATGTATATGTTAACCTACCATAACAAAATAGACACCATAACAAATTGCAATTAGGAACAAAGAGCAAAGAGAAAAGTATACCTTCCCCTCATAATATCCTTTCAGTAAATAGTTTGCCAACCCAAAATCAGCAGCGGAGATATACACAAATCTTTTCACTCCTGTAAAAGACACAAAACAAAGCATTTAAAGTTTTTGCTATTTTTCTCCCTTTCGCTTTTCTTTTTCTGGAAGGGGTGAAATTTACTACCAGAGGAGACATCTTCCCTAGGTAGACACAACAAAGATAAATGATCTATATACCTTTTTCTGTAGCAGCCCGGATACCATTGATGTTTGCAGTCCCATTAATCTTATACATATATGAATTAGATCCAAAACCACCAATGCAAGAGATCTAAAAAGTTGAACTTCATTAGCAGGAAAAAATGACAATCAAAGAAGAGATTAAGATTCAAATTTAATTGTAAGCAAACCAGGAAATTTTAATATGAATTCCAAATCAAATTATGGAACTATTCTGTATGGCTGTGCAAATAAATTTAGCTCAGATAGATTTTTGGATGTTAAATCATCTGCAGAATTAACAGACTACATACAACAGATGTAACTCCATCAAGAGCTTCCTTCCATGACTCAAAAGAAAGAAGGTTCCCTGAACGGAAGTAACATGTTAGATACGTCACAACATGCAATTAATAGCATCTAGAAAAGTATATAAAGAAAAAAAAAACCTTTATGCCATGTCACATTCTTAGCCCAAGAGTCATGTAAAGATGATCCACCAGACCTAATTGAAAGAAGCAACCAAATTAAGGAGCTGAAGCAATACAAGTAATTGATGAAAATGGAAAAATGGGAGAGAGTACAGCAGAAAATATTAGGCATCTCCACACATGAACAATGTAGGGTATTATTACCTACTCTAAAAATTGAAAATTGTACTACAAAGCATCAGTTGAATGAACCGAGCTTATTTGTAACAAGCTAAGGAAGTACATCAGGGGCACATTGAAATGAGAAGCCTTTTTATTACAGATGCATATAATGGCAAAAGCAACTAGAAAAATATTCCCAGCTAAAGTGTACAAAGATAAAGGACTGGTCACTTTCCATGATATTTGAATATTTAAGTCAAACAACACATTGTGCAACAGTCACAAATTTCTTATGTACTCTACAGTCTACATCTTGCAAGAAAACATAGTTGAAAACATCATTTGTTCAAGTACTTCATTACTGAACCAAACCCATATGAGATATAAAAGTTGTTTCAAATAAATTTTAACGTTCTATAAAGAAATCCTGGGTAAAAGATCATTTTTACCAGGCATTTTTAAGTAAATTGGAATACCTGCTAAGGCCGGAAACATTCAGACCACGATTCAAAGCTTCCCTGCAGATATGGGAGCCAACAAATCCATTTCCACCCAACACAAGCAGCTAAAATGAAGCAATACATAATAACAAATAAAAAGAAGCCAACGATGCTAAATTGACAATAGTCTGAGTTCTAACTAACACCTTTTCAGAAGGAGGAGGTACATTTGTAGTCTCAGCTTCTTCAACTTTCAAAGGCTCATCAACCTTGTTAGACTCGGTTGAAAGAAATCTCCAATTCTTGTTCCCATCCATTAAACTGAATTATACGAAAGGAGAAAAAAAAAGAAAGTTCTTAATCCTCCACAGAGCAACAATAATAGAGAACTAAATCTAACCTTTTCATCTGCACAGGACAAAATCAATTCCAACATTTTAGCCTAATCAGATGAATTCGATTTTTTTTAAAGAAAGAATCATCAATAGCTTCTAAAATTTTACGAACGATCGAATTCCAATATCCAGTAGAAGAATCTAACCGAGACAAAAACACGGATCAAAGAAGCGGAAGAAAGAATATAAACTTACCAGAGTCTAGAGAGCAAGAGTCTGGAATGAATCAACCGTGAAGCCATGGAGCTTACGTCAAAACACTACTGTTTCTCGATCGCTCTCCTTCGTCAATTGGAATCTTCTGAAACTTTGCTTCACAAATCGGAGGTTGCCTTTTTTCAGCGTTTGTTGGAGAGGGTAAAAGCGTCTAATAATTCAGGCAGGCACGAGAAGGGAGTACACATGGCGCGCAGTCGTAACGACAGGTAGGGAGCATACGTGGCTTGGTTTTAGCCTATAGACATGTTTTTAAAGCAAATAGGTTAGGTTTAAATACACCTTAATAATAAATAAATTGTTATTTTCTCAGATATATAAATGATATAAACATTTAATATCGACAATTATCTTTAAACAAATATTGAATTTATCAGATTAATTGAAAAATGTTAGGTTTGGGTATTATTGGACCGACCCAAAAGCTGGGCATGTAAGAATTTTAACTAAAACAATGGGCCTAATTGGCAAAAATTTCGGTACAGTATACGAAGAAGCCCAGTTTAAGGTAGTTTCAAGGTAAACATACATATTAATATTTGATTTTGATTTTTTATATTTTATTTTATTTTATCTGCTTTTGATTTCCTGATTTAAATTGTTTTTTTTATTTTATTCAATTAAATACTTGCATTTTTATTATTATTTCAAATATAATAATTAATTGGACTAAAAAACTATAAGTATCAAATTGAAACAAAAAGTAAGTTTAAGTACTAATATGAATTAAGAAATCAAATTCAAGTAACTAAGTATTATAAAAAAAAACTAAGAGTATAAATTCATACATCTGATTGGGTAATTAAGTACCAAACAACTAAGAGTTCAAAATTAATGTACATCTAGAGAGATGGACCATGATTTTACGTTAGGGAGACGAATTTGAATTTATAAAACTTCAGGTATAAAAATTTAGGGGTCAAAAACAGAATTTTAATAGAAAATACATAAAAAAATCTAAAAAATGTGGTTTAATATAAAAATAAGTGCATAAATCATGTCTCGAAAAGCGCTTTAGTGCCTAAAGAAATTTTTGTTAAAAATAGGTGTAACGTTTTTTTTTTCGTTACACTTTTAGGTGTATGACCGTTAAAATCAATTGTTAACTGACACATGTCGTCTTTAGATATTTTTTGAAAATTTTATTTTATTTTAAAAAACATAAATAAAATTATTACTTTTTAAAAAAACTCAAATGTTTCAAAAAAATCAAAATGATCCCTAGATTTCGAAACCCAAATCATTCAATTCTTTTGTTGATGTCGTCGACAGCATACACACTGGTTGTCGGGCTCCACTACTGCCAAGTCCCTCGTCGTCACCCTTAAATCAGTCATCAATCAAAATCTACCTCAAATCGTTGTAAATCACGAGTAAAATTGGAAACAATGTCGCGTAAACAGAATAATATACGTCTAAAGATAACTCTCAACCATTTGATATTAAACATTCATATTCCTAATTTTTTTTTGTAATAACAATTCATTTACCACCGAAGTGGCTTGATTGTTGCATAAACACAAACTTGAAGTGACCAACGTCAGAACTAATAGGAGAAAATGAATAAATCCAAACCAAATTTAAGAAACTTTAGTGACAAAGGATAAATAAACATGCAACAATTCTCGAGTCACTTCCTTTGAAATGACCATCTAGCTCAGTTGGAAGGGCACAAGGTTCTTATTCTTGAGGTCGTGGGATCGAGTCCCACAGAGGGTATTTCATAATTCGGAGGTCTTCTACGAAAGCTGCTTTCAACCTGGCGTTGGGGACAACCTACTATCCTACCTCCCCTTACTCCATTACATATGGGAATAAGGGTCAACTAATCTTATGTCATAAACCCGATCCTTTAACTTCACATGAACTCGTCGTGAAAGCAACAGAGATACAAGTCTGCAATTAATTTTCTTTAATCTTCAAATTTTTTTTATAAATTTACCCCTTTAATATAAAATTTTATACTCCTCCCTAACTTCATTTGTTACCAAAGATTCCAACAAGCAAAAGTCTCAAGTTTAATAGATTGGTTTGGACGCTAACCTTTGATTAAAAGTAAATTAATGCACATGGCCCAATACAAAGTGTCCTATCCACTACCTTAGCCATCGTCTAATATAATACATTACATTTAATGTCACACAAAATTTCTAAAGATATGATAAAAAACTGTTCCCTCATCCTTTTTTTCTAAAGATATGTGTGTATATACGGTAGTCGTATTGTGCTTGTACACCAGCATTGCTGACCTTTTGTAAAATGGTGGTACAGGCGTACATCCACCAATTACGATTGGGATATGAGAATATTAATATTGAAAGACAACGGAAGATCATGGTTAATAAAGGGAGAAGGGTTATAAGACAAAAGTGTTAACTGTCGGAGGTCTTCCACGGAAGCTACTTTCAACTTGACGTGGGGGCAACCTATTACCCTACATCCTCCTTACCCCATTACATATGAGAATAGAATTTTGTTGTTGTTATTGTTGGTTATAAGACAAAAGTGAAATCTGATTATATTACAAAGATGTCCAAAAGAAAGGTGACACCATCGATGTCAATCAAGAATAAGAAAAAGTTAAGGGGCATTTGTTCATGCTCAAGTGGCTTAGGGTGAAAAGAAACGAATAATAATTGATTAAGCATTTCAAAATAAGAAACAAAGCATCAAAATAGTTGCAGACAAGTGTAGATGGGGAGAGATTTTTTTTATGTAAATGATATGATTAAATAGAAGACTAATTATTACAAATGTTTTGTTTAATTAATCACTGATATCTGATCTATTGACCGACTAATCCAGATCGAGTGCTGCAGAGGCGAGGGCCACCCTTCCAACCCTGTTTACTCCATTAGTAAACGGCAATAATCGAACCCCTGACCTTGCTTAAGAGACATATTGCCTCATCCCACTAGATCAATTGGTTGTTGGTATTACAAATGTTTTCTTAGGAAGATGGATATATTTATATGTTTATCACATAATTAAAATAAATTTAAGATAAAATTCGATTAATGTATCTTTAAAAGTACAATAACGTTAAATATTTAGGGTAAAATACACAAATGATCCCTCGACTATAGAATATTGTTTTCTTAGAGTATTTTCAGATAGAGGCGGTTTGTCTTGAACTACTGGTTCCTGCCAGCATCAAAGCTGCTTTTTTCGCGAATACCTAAAATGCATGTAATTCACACATGGTCGACTGGTGATAAATTGAATTGCAAGTTACTGTTTTTAATTATTGTACTTGAACAAGGAAAGGAAATTGAGAAGAGAAAGAAAGAAACGTGGACAAACAACCCAAAATTTGTGCACGACTTAAAAGCAAAAAAGTAGTTATGCATATCGGTAGCTGCATTATTGTGGCATTCAAAGACGAAGGGGACAAAAACATGCTAAAGCAAAAGGAGATGCAGGATATCGCCATAAATACAAGATACTTTGCTGGCTATTTAATAACCAAAAGGTCTTGCAATTGTACCTTGGGGGTGAAGGGTAAGAAACAATAATAAAGAAGGTACAGTGGACACGTTGATTAGGGGACCCATAGGTTTAAGTGCGGTGTCTGTCACTGTACGGTATAGATATTGGATGAATAGGTGTGAATTTCAGTTTCATCCAACAAGGAGAGATGGATAGCTAAGCTAAGCGCAATGCGCCAAAGTCCGACAGCAAGGGACCTGCCAGGCTAAAGCATAAAGTCCTCGATGGTGAATGGAAATACTCTATGGCTTCGTGGGGTCTTCAACTACTTGATAGTGCACCAAATTCCTCCTTTGTCCCCAACTATTTCTCGGGTCCCATCCCACTCATCTTCCACCTGATCAGTCCCCATTGCTGATGCTTGTAGGTCACTTTAGGTTATGAAGTCTCCAAAATTTAATATCCTCCTCTTGCTTATGAATGTTGAATATATCATTTGAAGAGTTGAAGTAGCAGGAGTATGTTGAGTATATTCTAGAAGTCTGGAGCTTAGGTACCAGCTTAGGTGCCAGCTCAGCAAAGCTGGCTGTTAAGATGAACAACTTCAGTTATTCAGTTACTACTTGTTGTATAAATAACATACAATGCTTTGTAAATAGTCGATTGAATAAGATTCAGTTTTCTACTATTCTACTATCTTCTTTACTTTGCTTTCTCAACATGGTATCTTTCGCCATTGATCTTGGAGGCTTCTTGTTTCCGTTGCTTCTCTGGTAGATGCTGAAGAACCTTATTTCTTTTTTTCTCTACTGTTTCATTTTCTCCATGGCTGCTAAGGATGATGTGCACAGCTTTGATCTTGGAGAACCTTCGAGAAATAATCGATTGTTCACAAACAAGAAAATCAATATTGTGCTCGATGAAATGAATTTTTTGTTGTGGAAACAACAAGTTCTTTTAACAGTAAGGAGTCACCGCTTGGAACGACTACTCACTGGGGAACATAAACCTCCACCAGTGCAAATCCAATCTGGAGATGGCAATATTGAAGCAATGAAGAGTACGAGGTCTTTGTGGCACAAGACAACGCCTTAGCTTCATGGCTACTCTCTACAATCAATGATTATATACTTCCTCAGTTTGTTGGTGTAGAAACAGTTGCGGTTGTGTGGTCTACTGTTCTCAAGTTTTTTGCCAATGGATCTACAATGACTGTAATGAGTCTGCATTGCAAGCTAAGGTCGATTAAGAAAGGTGATGAGAGTACGAGGTCATATCTTACTCAAATAAAAGAAGTTTGTGATGCGTTAACTGCGTGTGGCAGTGCTGTTTTCGAGCTTGAACAAATAACCACTATATTGAATGGCTTGTCGTTTGAGTATCAACCGTTTATGGCGGTTATTACAGCTAGCAAAGAAGCATTCTCTCTTGATTGGGTAAAGTTTGTGCTAGTTGATGCCGAGGCACAACTTAAAAGCTTTCAGCTTCAAAATCAAGTGTCAATGAGTGCAAATGTTGTTCATATGCATAACAACATTCAAGATCACGATCGCTCTAGTAAGTATAATCGACCCTATAGTTCGGGTGGCAGGTTTGGTGCTCGATCAGGAGCTCGTGGTCGTAGGCGCTCTAGGCACCAGTGCCAGTTATGTGGAAAGACTGGTCATTTAGTAGATAGGTGCTGGCATCGCTTT